TTGATTTGCATTTTATATTTATATGAAATTTTTATATACTCAACAAATTTTTACCCTTCGTTCATTTGGGGTCTGAGGCATATCCCTAATCATTTCATGGCTTTTGTTTGATCAATGTCAATGTAAGGGTTATTAATTACTTAGCAAGTACCTTCGGCTTCACCTGAGGTGGTATAACCATAAATATCATATAGCATAAGAAATGCTTTATGATATATACTTTTTTTTAACGTAATTAAGTAAATTTGTTTGTGTAATCTTTTTGGATTTAGTTACTTCTTTAATTATGTTACGGTGATAATAATAATTATCCGTAATGGTTGTGCCAATGATGATGAGTAAGATATCATTATTGTGTACTGCCTCTCGTAAAATTAAAATACTCACGCGTCAGTGAACCTGCAGAGAAACCAATTTTCCATTTACCTTGCTGTAATTCTACTAAATTCTTCCCTAGTAATTGTAAGAAATATTTCCTATATGAATATTATTAAATTCAATGAGTACCTAGGTTTGCTGTTACAGGGGGGAGATAATTTGGTGTGTATGTTATTGATAGCTTGGTATGAAGTAAACCAATTTGCCCAATCTGTTTCTCTAAGGTGTAGTTATTTCATAGGCTGTATCGTATATTTCAAATTAGTAAACCCTGTGTTGAATTATAATACAGATGTAGAAGAAACTTATGATATAAAGAAGAAGTGCTCAAATGTAATCATAGGTTGATATGTTGCAAATCCAAACTCTAACGGACAATCGAGTCGGGCGGAGCACGAAATGAGTTTTGAGATAAAGATATGCCTATATTTTAATCGGGAAAGTGAGCTATCAGCATGCCAAATTTCAACCTAATCCGACCAGTGAGTGATTGAACCCCAATAAGAAAAACAAACACACAAACTTTCACAATGTATTATGTTGTTAGTATGGTAACACTTTCTTAATGTATTTTTGTCTATGTTTTGATAACTATGTTTGATAATATGTTTGATAAATATATTATCATAACAACATAATATATTTGTTAAATATATTATGTTTGATAAATGTTTGATAAATATGTTTGATGATACTATGTTTTGATAACTAGCTGTTGTACCCGTGCTTTTTAACGGCAATAGCACGGGAAATAAATACCTTTTGATCTATAAATGCATTTTATTAAATGTTAACACATCAGCCAATGTTTTGGCCTATTGATTCGTCGGAAAAGAACATACCATATTGCTGATGGATGTCAGGTGCTCAATAATTACTCTTTGTTGAACAGACATTGGTCTTATAAATATCACCATTGACTATATATACCTACCTGTAGGTATATATAGTCAATGATATCACGCATTTTAAGTTTTTAGTACCGGGGGACTGAGCCTTGCTAGGTTGTGGTTTAAAGTACGTATAATCGTTAAAACCATTTGATAAAAAAATATTTTAAATATGATTTTCGAGAAATGATTTCATTACAATCCAAGACATTTGATTGATAAAAAAATAACGACTCTGTAATACAAGCAATGTAGGCCTATAAGGTATGTAATAAGCAATCAGAATAATCATGTGTTGATGTGTTATTTTATTAATTTTTACATTTATTTATTTATGACAAAAATACTGTTACGATAAGTATGTTGTATGCGAATCTAACATGGACCTTATGGGTTGCGATGAAGGTGACGAAATAACAACACAATATAAACAGAAAATCAAAACAAATGAGAGAAACTCCCATCGCATATTTTATTAAAAGCGTAGGGTGAAAATAGATAAGTCAATAAATTCTTCTCATCATCAATAAGTTCTTTTAGTCGAGTTTCAACAACTCGACGATCTGTAGTGTACATTAGTCTGAGAATAATTTGATGTATGAAACATAATTTAAATCAAAACGTGTTAATATTACACACTTAACAGTTATTCGATTTTGAGAAGCTAACATAGCAACTTTAGTCCCATCAGGTACTTTTAAGATCTGTAAATATAAGGAGGTCCCGCTTATACTTAACATCGACTACATCATAGACAAGTTACGTCATTAGCTTACTAGCGTGTTTAATTTTGTTTAATTCCATCCACAGGTTATAAGTTCCCTTTTCAAATTAATGTTATTTCAAGCTTTACTATACTTCCACAGTCTACCACTGTAGGCCTACCGTTACTGTAGTTTTGTGGAGGTTCACTTTAGTTATCGAACACAAATGATTCTACATACTGTACAGTCTTCAGCACCTTCCAGTACTAATTCCTGTGTAACACTTATTTTTCTGTTTACTGTTTGGATCCTTCACAGTTCAAAGAGACTTATAACGAAATATCACACTCTTTACAATATCCACAAATTACTAAGCTGCGTATTCTTCATTAAATTTACCTTTACACGAACCCTCTTCTACAATACTTTCATTTTTTTTTATTTTATACCTACATGGCAGGACAATAAGAGCAAGTAAATTTGCATTTAGACAATTAGACTTCTAATAAATGTTTTTAAATTGTAGAAAATAATATACCTTAAACAAAGATAAATGAATATTAAACTAAAAGATAGTAACGGGTGACTGATCCTTGCTGAGTTTGGTTAATGACATTTAATTGTTAAGGAAATATACTACACAGACATGTTTTATTACAATACAAATATAATTCTATTAAATACCATAGAAATTTCATCGCAGAACTAATAACAACTTGAATAAGGTATGCAATTAAAAAAGGAATATTTTAGATCCTACTCCAGTTTTTTTAAACATTTATCATGCAAAATACGATTATTTTTATAGGTAAGGGGCATAATCTCTCGGTACCACACTAGACTTTTCGTTGATTAGTTGAAGCCGAAAACTGATAAGTCCTATTGGAGCATAAATCTTTTACTGGAAAGATTATTATAATGAAATAATTAATTTCAATAATTATGTAACTAATTAGACCTGTCCATATTTTGTTTCAACTATAAAAAATAGTGTTTACAATTTGTACAATCTACCATTAAATACGGGTGAAACATTGAGTTGACGCCTGTGCACTCAAACGACACCAACTGGAAACACATTTATTGAAAATAATTGTTGTGCATTTGATAACAATATATCACTATTATTTAAACAAATTAAATGCTAAATTGATTCGTTTACGATAGCATACTTTTAATAAGCGGATTTAAAACAATTGCTTTATTTACACAATATTCGTCAATTAATAATCTGAGCCCTATCTATAATTACAGTGCCTTGTGATTCAGAACGCAACCCATATACATCACAGTTACGCAAACAGTATTTGAATAGTAAAGGGAGTTAATGTACAAATGTTGGTCAGTCGAACGCACGGGAATCGAGTAGTCAATTTTTTAAACAGTTTAATTCAGAACAGCTATTTACACATATAAAGACCAAAAAACTATGTCGTATAAGGCAATTCTCATATCTTCAACGATTAAGTGATAGTTTGCAGAACAATAAGTATTTTCAAACATGACTTAAAATTGTTACAACAAAACCTTTTACTTAGGTACACAAATTGAATCTCCAACAAAACTTGATTAGACGCAAATGTTTGATATACAGTTGAACATTTTACATTTCATCCTGATAAAACACATTCTTTGTAAGGAAAAAATTACATTTCACTTGAATTAGGTTACAGCAGACATTCGCTAGTTGTGGGGAAAACTAAATATAATTTAACGTTACAATTTCAATTTAATTAAATTTGAAACTACCTGTTTGTTACAACAACCGGAAACAACTTCAAATATTTAGCGTTGGTTACTAGTACACTATTACAACTTAATAGTTCAGCTCAAATAAACCACGACAAATTCATTATCTTTTCATTTTTCAAATGATTTATTCCAGATTCTCTTACGGAGTAAACAAAAATTGTCATAAGCTATAAAAATAAGTTATTATTTGTTTAAGACGTTTGCCAGATAATTTAGTATTGTTATTGTCAAGGTTAATACTTAAACCATCTTTTAAGAATAAAAATAAACACGTTATTTTACTTTTGAAAATAAATAGTAAACAATACCAACACTAGCCCTGCATGCCTTCAAAATCCCATATATACATGTATGTATGAATGCGTGTGTATTTAAGTGTGTGTACTTGAAAATACGAATACAAAAATATTAATTAAAATATCAATTAACAAAACAAATAACCATTAACGTTGCTGGTGACGACGTGTGTTTAAACGCCTTCAATCTGAGAGACGCAACAGTTCTAGCGTTTTGGAACTTCCGATCTGATTACTAGAGTTTTGGAAATTCCGACCCGGCATATGATCACAAGTTCCAAAGTGAAACGGACAGTCTATTTCATAAGTTTACTTTAAGAAATAAATTTGTACTTCTAGTTATGACTGTACTTTTGGATCTTACGATTTTGGAACTTCCGATCGGCAATATTTTCTTTGGATCTTTTGATTTTGGATCTTCCGACCCGCTAAATAACCTTTGGAAATTCCAATTTTGGAAGATCCGATCGGCAATATAAACGTTGGATCTTTCGATTTTGGAACTTCCGATCGGCAATATATTCTTTGGATCTTCCGATTTTGGAACTTTTGAAATACTCCCGATGTATTTAAAATTTTGTTTAGAAATCATTTGATATAAAAGCGTTAAAAATATAGCACCCCATTTATAATGATTTATAAATTATTTAGTTCCGTTGTATTTACGACTAACATCGGTGTCCTTTCTCTACCAGTGGATTTTGATTACAATAGTTGCAATAAATTAGCAGTTTAGTAAGTTATACATGTTACTATTTTGTAATTAATTAAGCTAATAGCTGAGCCTAGAGAAAAGCAAATACTGCACGTAAAAATTGTATTACTATAAACTAATGGTATTTATTTTTCGCGAATATGAGTGAAGGTTGGTCACCCTGATCATTTCTATTTGTTATGATGATTTTTTTATTTGTTATCAAAATCATATGAAAGAGATCACTGTTCATTCTCATTGTTTTTGTTCGCATTAAAAATATAAATTCGGGAAATTCTGTTTCTTCTGATAAAAAATTGCAATGTAATATCTAATTCAACACAAATATTTTAGGGGTACCACATTAACTTTAGTGGTACTACAGGTACCCCCAAAACAACCAGCTTTTAAAAAATTGGTGAGTGTTTATAACCTATATTGGCATCTAGTTTTAACCATCAAAGCTATGGCCTACTAATTTTTATATTCTAAAATTGAACTTACAGAATTTGCAATGACATTGATAAAAACATTGTATGACTAGCAATCATATCATCTTAAGTTATTTTATTTGAACTCTTTCACTTTACCCGGTACATAGGTACCTAATTCATATTTCTTGGTTGTAGCATTGACTAGGCCTATATTGGAACTGAGTGCAGTAGAACAGCTTGTTCCTCATTTATTGTATAGTACAAGTTATGTAGGTCCAATGAGCCTTCCTCACAGAACAGGGGTGAGCATCGATAAGTTAGGCTAGGTCAACCATTGAAGTTCACCATCGATGCTAACCATCAATGAAAACATCGCCGCAAAAACATCAATGTTTTTTCCCCATTATTTTCTGCTTTCTGTACTGCCTCAGCTAACAAACCTATTACCATAGGTACTCAAATAGCATTGATTAAACACTCCCTTGCGTTGGTTAGTCTATACTAAGCTAGCTAACTTATACGTTCTAGATTGGCAGTTTCTCTTTAACATTAGCAAGATGAAATAAATATTGTTATTAATTTATTATGCTAGAGAGCAGGAGTGCTGCTAACAAGCACCTCACAAAAGTAACTTAGATAGTTATCTCACTCGCTCTACACTTGTATACTTCTAGTCTAGTTTGCGATATTTGTGATTCATATTCTGTGCTTGTTCAACAACCCCTGCCATTCTGTGCATATGTTTTTATTTTAATTTTAAAGAATTTCAATAATTTGTACTAACTTAGCTATTGTCTTGACTTGGCCTACTGCCTTAAGTAAGTTATTGTGTTTAATGGTTGAATTATTTGACTTCACCTTTTTGATTTGACCTTTCTATTGAACAAATAACTTAGGCTACACATATGCCTACTAAAATTAAATTTCTTGTTAAGACCAACATTTACATTTTCATCAAAACTACCTAATACAATTCTGTTACGGGAAACATCAATATTTCAATGACCAAATATATACTTGGCCAAAAACATTGATGTTCGACGAAAACATCGATTTAACAAAAACATCAGTAAACCTACCATCGATGTAATACATTGAACACCGATAGAAAAAAATTGATGTTACGAAAACATTGACTATCGATGCTCATCCCTATTAAGGAATCAAAAATAAAAACCATCCCTACTGCAGGAAAATCCTTAGGCATAACTGTCTAAAAGGTAGGTAAAAAGTTTAGGCTACCAATGTAATATCCATGTGCATAAGTTAATTACAGCAATCAATATATCGATTTGGACAAGACTTACCAACCAATGAATTATATTCTTTATCTTTATAGTAGATAGTTTGACATCCTAGTTAATAAAACTTTTAAGTTATCGCTACCAGAAATTTTCAAGTCAAAAACTCAAATGTTTCTGGACTTTAAATCCTTAGGTAGGCACTTAGGGTGACGAGCACCAAACAGGAGAAAGTCAAACTAATATAGTATATAACTAAAGTAGTAGGAAAATAGTGACTTCATTTGCTACATACACTATTTTAGTATTCTAACTTCAGGAGTGTTTTACGCCAGGAGTATTGTGGATTACTCTTCAGAGGAAATTTAAGGTTGGTGTGCACCAGTGTATAGTTGTGTACTAAACTAGTAAGTTAATGATAAATTTGTGCTAAAATATACTCCTACCCCCTAGTAGGTGTAAGTTATGGAGTATTTCGTTTTAAATAGGGTTAACCATGTATATTGTTTTCAGTAGATTATGTTTTTATGTTAACCATGGATTATGCTGAATAGGCCTACATAGACTATTTATTGAATGCACCAAATGTAGTACGGTTCGTGATAAGAGAGACCCTATTGAAATATTAATTACCTATTACTGTAATTTTTAATTAGTAAAACAAAAATAAACAAAAAAGTAGAAACTAATTTATACATGAAATACTTTTTTAAAATACCACGTTTTTAAACGCCCTAAAAAGTAGAAAATGATTTTAAATATATGGAGAGAATAAATAATACTTGTAAGATTTAAAACAAAAAACGTGGGGCGCATGTAATAGATAATAATAAAGAGGGGTAGCTGTCGATTTGAAACAAATAAATTAACACAGTACATCGTGTATGTATGATTTACATCTATATTTCCTAATTGAGGTTAAAAATAGCTAATAATAATTCAATTTGTGAAGATAATCGTAAATTAGATATTGCATGTGCCCTACGTTTATCGTTTTAGACCTTACAAGGATTTATTCTCTCCGCATATTTATAAATTAATATTTAAATATTAATTTTATAATCAAATTTATAAAAATAAATATAAAATACCCCCGCCGCAGCAAACCTGCCGTCTAAGCGAATTTCCATTTGGCTGAACTGATTTTCAATCAATCTATTTAAATAACATTAAGTTTAACGAGTACCTAGGTTTGCTGCTACAAGGAAACTAATAAAGTGTGTGTTTTAAGTAAAATAATTATTGCTTAGTAGAAAATTAATATATTTGCCAAGTTTGATCAAAAGATATCCATAAACAAGCAAACTACAACATTTTACAATATTCTCCATAAGAATAACATGGGAATTTTAAATTTACAATTTTTTTAGTTTTCTCCGTAACCAATAACCGTACAAAAACACTTTGATATACTGAATTGTTTGTTTTTTTAAGCTCTTTAAGAGGGTTTAGATAAAAATTGGGAAAGTTTGTGTTTTGAGGGTCAAAAGTGAGAAAAACCAATTTTTACCCCATAAAACCCCCCATAAAACCCTGTTCCCATGGTCCGATCATGCTGGATCGCGAACTCATTCAAGTTTATCCCGCCTTACACCTTCAAACCAAATTTCATCAAAATCGGATAAAAATTACTCAAGTTATCGTGTTCACGGACACATATATATATAAATCTATATATATATATACCTATATATATATATATATATACATATATAAAAATTTGAACGAATTGTGTTTTTGGCCTCTGGGGACATCAAAATGAAAAAGTAAATCGGTCCCGGGCCTAAGTCTTACCATGAGACCTACGGTAATAGCTACTTCCCTATAGGGAAATTCGCTAAAAGATAAAATTAAATGAAAATGAAATAATTAAACAAATTAACTATTTGAACACGGAGGTTTTAACAATAAAAACCAATTTTCAACACAAAACTCTTGAAGCTTAATACTAATTTGCACTAAACACAAATAAATATTGAAGTATTTCTATATTTTGAGGTAATGTACTGCGTGGGACTGCACAACTAACAGAGTATTCACAGAAACTACAGAAGTTTTAACTAAAGAAGCATCCTGTACTTGAGCTCTCCAAACAAATCTCCAGTAGTAAAATACTTCTGTAGTTGAATATTTCTTGTGTTTTAACTACAGAAGTTTCACTTACTAATGTAGTATATTTTACTGATTTGGTGCTCGTCACCCTTAGTGTTTTTTGTTTTTTTTTATGGGGGGGACTTACAATCTTATGATTTATTGCATTAACTATTTCTCTATGAAACGTTTTATCCCTACATCTTTTTGCTATTTTTACAGACGAACTTGTAGAAGAACATTTGCAAAAATGTCTAACACACTAACTCAAGCTTTTGTTCGGGACTTGAAGTCCCGCAATCCTGAAGTTCGTAGCAAAGCAGCCCAAGACCTATATCGATATGTAAGTAAAATTTCTTTACAATCAAGCTATTCTTGTAAGTTTTCAAATTATCCTTTTATTTTTTTTACTGTTAGGCTTGCTTGCTGGTTGCACTTTGTACATAACATTTTCCAAGTGAAAAAGAATGACCTAAATCAGGTTGCAGACACACTTGGTCAAGCTCTGATCAAGTGCGACAAATGTTATCAGGCTGGTGTCCAAAGAGTAGACAAGGTTTTTAACTTAGTGGGTAGACTTTGGGTACTAAACTCGGGGGAGTCCCACACTACAGGCTTTCCACCTGGGTGAACATATTCACGCCTCTTCCTAAACAAAAGGCCTGCTGGTAAATTTTTATCTTATGTAGACATAGGCTTATATTTTATTTTTAGATCTGATAGACAATGTTTCTTTTGGGGTTTCCTTTCACTCTCATAGGCTACCTAGAGCTGTTGTTCATGAACGCAGAAGAGGGTAGGGGCCTACTAGTCACAGATGCAGCCTCATGACAAAAGTCACAACAAACATATGAAGGAAATCTTCAGAATCATTTTAAAACATGTTACCTGACAGTTTGCAAAACAAAACAAAAAATAGTGTCCACTCTATAAACATTAAATTGATCCTAGTCGTGGAGAGAATGATTTGTAGTTTCAGTATTTTATCTGCATATGTGTAAACAATTGATGTTTATCTTGATAAAGCAGTTCTGATTGTTTTGTTCCGCAAAACATTAAGTTTTACATTTCAGACACTTTTTGTTTGAGTAACTGTTAGTTTAGTCTCATGAGTGCAATGTGGGAAATTTTTCTTTGTGAACAGCTGAGACAAATGCAGGGTATGAAGTGAGTGAAGTTCAAAGATCAGAGTTAAGCCAGTTATATGCCTAGATTGTTGATTTAATTTATTAACAAAAAATTATTTCTCGATATGAAACCATTTTTAACTCTTACTTAAATAACATATTTTGAGAAATGTGACATAGCAGAGTAACTCTTTATTTGAGACAAATGAACTCTCATAATTTAATGCGAATCAGGTAACTTGATTGGATTTTTTTCCAGGTTAAAACCGAACTTCGGGAAGTTTCTGCTGAGGATTTGACATCTTTTATGGATGATTTCAATCATCACATTTTTGAAATGGTGTCTGGATCAGATGTCAATGAGAAAAAAGGCGGTATCCTTGCCATTGGTAAGCAGATACAAAATGTATGAATAAACATTTAAATTTAGTTGTTTGTTACTTGGAAAAATAATCCTGATACGGCTCAATCTTGGTGGGTTACTTTGAACAATAATCAAATGTGGCAATTATTTGTTTGTTTTTTTTTTAGTCGTAGGTTATAATAAAAATTGTTTTGAACTGCAACAATTAACATAAAAAATGAATGGGCATAAGTCTTTACTACAAACAATATTTGCTTAAAACTAAACTCTAGCCTACTTTTAGCGAATTTCCCTATAGGGAAGTAGCTATTACCGTAGGTCTCATGGTAAGACCTAAGCCCGGGACCGATTTACTTTTTCATTTTGATGTCCCCAGAGGCCAAAAACACCATTCGTTCAAATTTTTATATATCTATATATAGATATATATATATATATATATATATATATATATATATATATATGTGTCCATCCGCACGATAACTTGAGTAATTTTTGTCCGATTTTGATAAAATTTGGTTTGAAGGTATAAGGCGGGATAAACTTGAATGAGTTCGCGAACCAGCATGATCGGACTATGGGAACGGGGGTTTATGGGGGGTTTTATGGGGTAAAAATAGGTTTTTCCCATTTTTGACCCTAAAAACACAAAATTTCACAATTTCTTTTTAAACCATTTTGTAGAGCTTAAAAAAACAAATAATTTAGTATATTAAAGCGTTATTATGCGCCTAATTGTTACGGAAAAAATTCAAAAAAATTGTAATTTTAAAATTTCCATGTTATTCTTATGGAGAATAAGTCAACTGTTGTAGTTTGCTTGTTTATGAACATATTTTGATTAATTTTGGAAAATACTTTTATTTCTTACTAAGCTATTATCATTTTATAAAAAAAATCTTTTTTACCCTCCCTGTTGCAGCAAACCTAAGTACTCGTTAAACTAATCCTATTTAAATAGGAAATAAATGTGCTATTTTTATGGAGGCATTTTAGTGTAAATCCAATCAGGTTAATGGAAATTCGCTTAGTCTGCAGGTTTGCTGCGGCGGGGGTATTTTCATTGTAGGCTATTACAACCATATCAGGTAATAGACTTTTAACAATATACCCTATACAACAATAGTTTTTTAACAATAGTGGGTTTTAGCAACATGTTATCAGCATAAGCTATACACCCTTTACACATACAAACTGTAAACATATTTTTTGTTTTTAGTGTGTCTGATCGATGCAGATGTGGGAAATATAAACAATAGAATATCAAGATTTGCCAACTACTTACGTAACCTTCTTCCATCCAATGACATCGGAGTGATGGAGTTGGCTGCTAAAACTGTGGGAAAGTTGGCTTTGGTGTCAGGCACATATTCAGCGCAGTACGTAGAGTTTGAGGTGAAACGAGCCTTTGAGTGGCTCGGAGGAGACAGGCATGAAGGCAAACGTCACGCCGCGGTAATTTTGATTTGCACTAGATGAGTTAAACATTCCCTTACACCCAGATACCTCTTCAGTTTAAGTCAATGTGATTCGGAATTTTAAACCAGATATCTTACTATTAATTTTGTTTAATTTGTTATGTAGACCATATGTTAAATCTGAAATAAATTCTAAACTAATATTTGATCACCAACAGGTGCTAGTACTGAGGGAGCTAGCGGTAGGTGTACCAACCTACTTTTTCCAGCAAGTTCAGGTGTTTTTCGACCTCATCTTCAATGCCATCCGAGATCCAAAAGCTATTATCAGGGAGGCTGCAGTCGAAGCTTTGAGAGCCGCGTTAGTAGTGACAGCTCAGAGAGAAACAGCTCGTCAGACTCAGAAACCTCAGTGGTAGGCCTTTTTGTGATTTTATTTACTAATAAGTTTGTACTTTTAATGTTTTTCATCACCATCATGTCACATTACCATTGATGTCAATATTTTTTTTGTTCTTGCTTACCAGAATGGTAGAGTTGTTTTGGACCAAGAAACAAAAAACTTAACACTGCACACAAAAATGGTAATATTTTTTTTTTACCGAAAGCATTAAACTTCCTGACCACTATTCAACCCAAAGCCACCTCTCTCTCAAACCCAAACAATTCTTGTTTGAAAATATTATCAGTGATAGTAAAGTACTAGGGGCCTATATACAAATGATGAGTATAGTGTAAACATTTGTATTTCATGTGCCAGAGTGAACTCTTTCCCATTCCAGTAAGCCTGCTATACACAACAAAATCCTTAAAACCAAAGGCCTTCGTGCCCTATATTACATCCATTACCAGAAAATTGTTGGCTGGATGAAAGTAGTTTAGTGCCAAAGAAAATGTAATATGTAACCAAGAACTTTACTTTGGATGCAATGTGTTTAGTTTATTGAGATACTTTTTCTGTACAAACAAACTTTCAACAGGTACAAACAGTGCTATGACGAGGCCAAGAACGGTTTTGACGACACTCTGATCAGAGAGAAGGGTGTGAACAGAGATGACCGAGTGCACGGCTCGCTGCTCGTCCTCAATGAGCTGATGAGATGCAGTAATGCCCAATGGGAACGCTCGTACGAGGATCTGATGCAGCGGTTGCAGTATCCAATCACCCCACCACCTTCTGTAAGTGATGGTCTCTTTCTGGAACTGAAGTTGACCCTACATAAAAAATCGCCATGTTTCTTGGATTGACATAAGACGAGAAACTTAGTTTTTAAAGCCATATACATTAAAATAACCTAGTTCTAGTATTTTTGTTTTGCGTGATTTCAGGAACAATGAAAATCTGGAGGAAGTATTACTAACTGCATACTATGGTGTCATTTATCCCCATTTAGCATACGCTCTTCTTTTTGGGGATGTGAGTACAGACTAAAATGTTGTTATCACAGGAACTATCATGCTCGTAACGTGACACTAATGCCCAATCGTAACGTGAACAACTTCCCCGTCTTGTAGCGCAATGTAATATTTCCTTATATTTTTTTTCTTATTTACTGCATACATCTTTATTTAGCACCTTTTAGTGTTCTAGGGAATCCTTATTTTGTAAGAGTTAATCAAACATCTGTTACCTTGCAGGACTCTGTGAGTCTACTGCCGAGACTGAAGGCTCCGCTCATCTCAGGGAAGACGCGGCAGAACAGCGCGTCACACACCAACATCAGCTCCATCATGTTGGCCAACAACAAGAGCAACCCGGAGCACATGTTGTTTGAGAGTTCAGTCTGCCGCAGTCTGATGATTGAACACTTTGACGATATCTGCAAGGAGACACTGGCGCAGCGAATATCTCGTACGTCCCATATCCTACAGACCCTGCTGGCCATACTGCCTCGCCTCGCTGCCTTCAACAAGGAGAAGTTTGTTAAAACGTGAGTTTGTTTGTATTTGAACTTGTTTTATTGAGTTAATTGTTGCAGGATTGATATAATGATTATTATATCTAGATAAAGTTGCATGTCCCATTCGTAGTTGTTTCACTATTCATCAACAAAATGACTTGTCTGAGAGTATTTTGTTTGGGTGGCTAGGTGAATCTTGTTGACTAATTGTAATTTATTGTTTTATGTTCCTCTAAGCACTGTTTTGTTTATTTGAAATATTTGTTAAAATGTATTGTGTTTTTTTGGCTATCAGATTAGAAGTGAAAATGGGGTAACAATTCTCCAAACCTCCGACTTTATTGTGATCTAAGATTATGTCTTTATCTGTTGGATTGTTGGATTCCATTAGAAAACAGATTTACAAAGATAAATTGGGCTCTACTAACAACTTGTGTTTTATTTTTGTTATTGTAAAACATTAATTATTTATGAATTTTTCAAATTAATAATTTTTTGCTGCATGACACCTCTACATCCATATATTACAACGCCGACATAGCACGCTGTGTAGTTTGTAATTTTTAATTGTTTTTTGTTGTAATTTTGATGACTAATTGTAGATGGACAAAATGAAGAAGGAATTAACTTATGAAGTTATGTAAACCATTACTTAAAACAGAGTGAATTAATTTATTTTCATAGTTATTAATACATTTTGTATCTGTACAATTTATTCAGGATACGATATGTTATGTTTTACTATAAATCTTTGTACCGCTATAATCAAATATTTCTTGACAGACATCTAAACCCGACCATGGTGTACCTGTTGGCGACACTGCGAGGACGGGATCGTGACAGAGCGACGGCTTTTACGGCCATCGGATTGATCGCTGTTGCGGTTGAGAAGAACATCAAACCTTACCTGCCCAAGATAATGGAGATTATCAGGGCTTCTCTTCCTACCAAGGTTAATGGAATACTAATTTACAGTCTGGGTTACAGCTGGATTTGATGATTGTAGGAGTGTCATTAATTAAAGCTGAGAAAACAGTGTTACTGATGAGAGGGTAGTTGCGACTATCCAAATTTTCAAAGGATATGATGATTTTTGGCAAAGATGGCTTTAGGACAGGGTTTTTAAGGATTTTGTAGTGGATAGGCTTAACAGCAGGCTTACCTTACTGACAAAAATATATGAAAACTAGCTGTGTACCCGTTCTACGCACGGGGATCTTATAGTAATCAGTTGAAACCTTCTTATATAAAGAACAGCAGTTGGTTTGCATATTTTCAGATATGCTGGCCAAACTATTTATTATACATAACTTCATTTTATATCGTTTGTTGTTGTTCCGGATCGGTATGAGAATCAATAAAAGGCTAAATTATCTGTGTCCACTGGTCGATCCTAATGTATCCTATTACAGGAGATGCATTTCGGCGAAATTAAATCGCCATCATCAGTCCTAAAGGTCTTGAGCTTCCCCATTAGGTGCGTCTTGGAGTTTTTGAAACACATACACGAACTGTACACTTATACACATGACGAATAAAACATAAATACACAGTAGGCCTACTTTTATTTTTACTATAGACAAGTAGACGCACGTCGGTCGTGTGCCGAGTCTCGACTGAAAACGCTCATTTAAAAAATGTAAGTTTCCCAGCAATATACAACACTGATTCAAGGTCTATTTCCCGGTTATCAAAACTCAAGAACAATTTTATACACAAAGAATCTCTATTTTCATTTACTGTTACCCTACATATTATTGCACTTGCGATTAATTAAATCCGTTATGTAAGGAAAAACGTTTTTAATCCTAATTGGTTTGGATTTGCTTTCAAAACGTGATCGGAAATGGTTGCGGTATTTGTAAACAACATGCAATGTAAACATATCAGTGACAGCTAGAAGAAATAATCTTGATTTGAACAGCTGTTCGTTATTTCATAGAAGAATATGTGCTAAACATTGGGAGAAAACTTTACAAAAAATTGCACAAAATTGGGTTTTTAAACGTCCGTTATTTAATTTACAAAGTGGTGACGCCATATTTTAATGGCTAAAGACAATTTCGCCAATCCAGTGAATACATTAAAATGATTTGGAACTTGATAGGTACTCTCGTTTTTCAGGAGTAGGCCGCGTAAAATGGCTCTTGGGTCGTAACAGACATGAAGACAGACAGAAATTTAGATGAGACTTGTTTCGGTTTCTCTAATGTATAAAACGTAAAAATAACCTAAAAGTTTATGGTTCTGAGCAATGTACAGACAAAACTCTAATTTTATTTATATAGATGCACAAATAAACACATACACATTGAATTTTACTAGCTCCTTCAACAATTGTAGGGGGTTTCTTTATTCTTGTAGGTTGAGGTCAGGATGAAGAAAATATGCTCTCTTTCCATCATTAAATCACTACTGAACTTTACTAATAAAAATTAATCAATATTTACAAAAGCCTGCTGTTTTGGGATAGGATTTTATTTGAGGTTTAGGTTGGCGGGTTCTCTGGATTTGGTTATCCACTAGTGGGAAAGTTCCCATCTTATCAATTCTGAGGAGTTGCAAGTTGCTCATTCTAAGTGCACGCAACACCTGTATTTATTATACAGGATACTTGCTCTTAACTGACCCTAACAGGACCTGACCTAGGTTGGACAACTCAAAAGTTCAGTTAAAACAGCAATCCCTAAAAATAAAAAAATATAACGGGAAGTTCTATTTATTTGGAATCATAATATATTATCATCATTATTATGACGTCGTGACAGCATTATTTAGCCTATATAAACTACACTTATATCCTTTTTTTTATAAGTGTTGACAGTAGAAAAGTCACAAATAAACCCAAAACACGGTAAAGTCAAATACTCTCAGTCATAAAAAATTCATAGTCATAGGCAAGAGTCAATCAAAATTCTTATTTAATACCTTTAGTAATAGGTATTGAAGCTTTTCAAATCTATCGTAATACAGCACAACACTGCCGTACAGATGACAAATCAGATGTACTCATGTTACGAATGATGATGACAAACTGGTAGTATGCAATATTTTGTAGGATAAATATAAAAAACTTATTCTTAGTAACATCCTGTAGAGTTAAGCGTAATGTTCCCATCACCTGAAATTCAATGTCGGACAGTTTCACCAATTTTTATCTAAAAAGCTAATCAATGGTTCACACAGGACACGCCCAGCAAGAAGCGCATGTCAGGCCTGGAGCCGTCAGTGTTTGTGTGTATCACTCTGCTGGGCCACGCCGTCAAGACCCTGATCAAGTCCGATGTGAGAGACTTGTTGGAGCCGATGTTGGCGACGGGACTGTCTCCCGCACTGACCACGTCTCTACGAGAACTGGCCACCAGCATACCACAGCTCAAACCAGACATCAGCGAGGGTGAGTTGTCAGCATGACTGATAGAATCTTTGTTGACGTTTTATCTATTTACAAGGGGGGTAGATTAAGGTCTCATTCAAGCTCTTGTCACAGATTAGTTCACATCAGCACTGTCGTATTCCTTACTTCATCCACTATTATTCTCATAAATTCACAGAGTTAATAAATTAATAGAGAATAAATTTGACTATTTTAATTCGCTTAGTCTGTAGTTTTGCTGCGTTATTTTTATCAATCCATTAAGGACCATTAAGTACCTAGAGTTGTGTATTCTTTAGAGATTGTGCCAAAGTTAGCAAAACAATTAATCATTTACTTAATAATCTTGTTATTATTAAGCTTTTGGTGTATCTATTAAAGTACTTGTCTTGATGTACCGGTTTTAAGGATTCTAATGTTGGTTAAGTTTTGTGATGTTATTTATTGCTGCATATCATGAATCCTAATGTAGATTATGTTATATGTAATTTACCTGTAACAAGTTTTTAAGCCTAATCCAACTGCAAAACTGGTTTTATTTTGGTTGTCACTTTGCACACTGTTGATGTTTTCGTTTGTATTTTTGCTTGTTTTACTGTGTTTTTAGGTTAGAAGGTGGAACTTATTTCTAATTTGCAACCGATTTTCCATTGTGAATGTGAGCTTGAGGTTGGTAAATATATTGAATTGCATGCCATCTTATCCTGCTACCCTGCTTATTTTCCCTTAATTTTAAACATTTTGGAATTACATTTTTTGTTGTGGTGTTTCTGGACCAATTGATTGACAATAAATAAAAGGGTCAAAATACTCAAACAAAATACCTGATTGTCACCTTGTGGTTCAAGGTTTGTCCTACTGGATGGTGCAAACACCATCGTGCTATAACTAATCTTCCATGAAGAGGTGCGTTGAAAGTTCACAACACAAAAACAATGGTCGATCGTAATTTATCATGGTTTTTTGTTTTTGTGACGCGTGCTCGGGCAGGATATGGAGGCGTATATGATGATGGCGTTCGCGCCGAAATGCGCATAAGACAGTAGGACAAACTTTGGACCACAAGGCAACAATCAGGTATTTTATCCTTTTTATTTATTTTGGAATTGGGTTGTTTGAAACCATAATAGACTACTGTGTAAGAACTAAAATAAAAAGAAGACATTCCTTTCACATTGAGTTAGCTTTGTTTATATTGTGAACTTTGAGCTTTCCTTTTTTATTTTTGAACTTCTCATTAATTGCACCTTTGTAAAAATGAATTGAATTTGCTTTTGGTCTTTGATACTGTAAAACAAAATGTATTAAACAAAGTCTTAGGGTATTTCCTATTCCTTAGAGGTTTTCTTATTTTCCTTGCTTTGCTTGATTTTTATTTTGCTGCATGTTTTATTTAACCCTTCAAGGCGGGCGTTTTTTAAAGCCCACGGAACCCTGCTACGGTAGTTTTTGCCGTGATCAAGCCCATTATTTACAATACTTCACCGAAACTTAGTTTTCTCTGGTAGGATACATCATATCAATCTATTTTATTTATAAAATTGTATGTGAATAAGTAATCTACAAAATAATACCAAAAAATATAACATTAACATTAAAATTTTATTTAACATACCTTCAGAAGTTGAGTTTTGTGTGGTAGTCCTTGAAGCAATTGACAAGACACAGCGCTGCCTTACAATCTGGGCACCAGAAGGCTGTTTCTTTTCTTAACCCAGCTTTGTAGCAGACCACACACCTCCTTGTAGGTTTTTCCTCCTTCTCTGTTGGTGGAATGTGATCGATGAAATGTCTTTCAACGAGTCTAGCGGGCTTCGGTTCAATGCTTGGCCTGCCATGCACTGGTCTGGCTACCTCTGCCTGATAAGTATGGATTAGCTCCTTTATCAACTGTAGTCTGAATTGTAAATGGTCACATTTTGGGTTTGTAAACTTCCAAATAATATATGAGTTCAGAACTGAAATATTCATCAGCCGCTTGAATAGTTTTATATACCATTTTACTCCACGCTTTCTTTCTAGGAGGAAATTATGGAGCATTTGATCCCTAAGGTCTACTCCCCCCATCTGTTGATTATAATCATAAACAAGAACAGGCTTCATGTGTTCTTTACCTGACTTGTTCCTTCTTTGCTCTATTTCATGATTATGAAATGTAGAAATAAGTGTGACAAGGCGTTTGTCTTTCCACTTCATTACCATAACGTTTTCGCTATGAAGAGCACATATTTCCCCCTTTCCTAGCTTGGCATTCTTTATTTCATCAGGAACATTTTTTCTGGAGAGTTTCAGTGTTCCACAAGTATCAGTCTTTTTGGATTTCAAAAAGCTTGATAGGTCTGGGGAGTTATACCAGTTGTCCATCCATACGGTGTGTCCTTTATTCAATAACGGTTCTAACAGCTTTATGACGATTGTTGTGGACTTGTTGCTCTCAGGCGGGACTATGGGACATTCAATTGGTGAGTTCTTCCCAGTATACACAAGTAAGGTCCAAGTAAACCCTGAGGAGGATTCACACACTTCATTGTGCTGATTTCAGAGGCAAGTACTGTCGAAACGAAAGCCGACCTTTCCACAGAGTTAGTGATTCGTCAATTGAAATGTTTTGGGACAACTCATAAGACTCCATAAACTTCTTGTCCAAATGTTCAATAATGGGATATATTTTGAAAAGTTTTTTTGGACCTTGGAATTGCGATAGTCGCATTGAAGCGCTGAAATGTAAATATTTGCTAATCATCTGGAAACGCTCGAAAGGCATGGTACTAGAAAAGATTGGGGTTTCGAGCAGAGGATTTTTACAGTAATATGTTCGAAGGCTTGGTTTTTGATCAATACCCATAAGCATGACAATACTAAAATAGATATAAAGCTCATTTTTTGTAACAGGCTGCCAAGCCCAGTCTCTGGATTGTCGTGCAAAAACCATTCCTTTCTTAGCCCTTTGCTGTTCCGCATAAAGATTTGTACTTGTTACAATGAGATTCATAATATCATCATCAAAATAAAATTGAAAAATACTTAGGGGACTATTAGCGGGTATTTTAGGCCCAGATTCCCTGTTAGGCCTAAAGGGTTCTCTGCTAGGTTCGTAGCCTTCCATAGTTTCCCAAACCATTTGGGGCTTGGCTTGAGGTCTTGGTAATGGGCAGTCACCAGCCCCTAGTACAACACTTTCAATTATATTTTCAATGTTCCTATTTCCCTGTACAACCGGATCATCAATTTCCATTTCATCATCAACAACAAAATTGTTTCCAATGTCAATTTCAATCTCATCGCCATCATCAAAAACAACGTTACTCTCTAGGCCTACCTCCTGTTGAGCGAAGTCTATTTCCTCCTCCTCACTTTCATCTGACGACAATAGGTGTTCATCTTCATCTATCCAACGGTCTATTTCACTAGATCTTGCCATTTCACTTTTGTAAAAATAACATTAAAATTAAAACTTATATATTTTTGTCAGAATAACCTAGCACAAACCTAACCTTGCACAACAACACGCACGCAACTTTCCCAAACACACGTCATAAATTACATTTTCAAACAAAAACTAAGAATCAACAATCACCTAGTTAACTTTTTATAACTTGAAATATAATTTAACACCACTTTATGCTATATAATTACGATTATACCGTAAAAAACGATTGAGAACGTCAGTACGTATCAACAGTTGACGCCGAGACGAACAAACATAACCACACTCAAGTTTGCAAACAATACATCTGTCTCTGTCGCACTTACTGCGATCGATAACAGCTGAAAAATGTCGAACAACTAATGAACAACATGCTCCATAGAGTCCGGGTTCCAAATAGTTCACTAAATCGTCGTCAGAGACCACCACTTATCGGGTCATGTCATGACGAGCGGCACTCGTCAAACCGTAGCAGTGTCTTTTTACGTGTGACGAGTAAGGCTCGTCAAACCGTCTTGAAGGGTTAACACTGTTTTATGCATGTTTACTTCGCTTATTGTTTGGTCTGTGCCTTGCTTTAAACTAAAGGTTATGCTTTACTTCACAATTTAATAAATCCACAGTTTATTATATTGCATGTCCTATCTTACATAGATACATATTTCTATTTTCTATCTTACTTCAGTTTGATATTGACGAGATTCTACCGTTTCTAATGTTTAAAATCCTGTAAAAGATATCTGTGAGTAATTAAAATATGCATGGTGATAATTTTCAGTAGAACATTCGAGGACTCTTAAAAAACCTGGATTAAATTATTGATTGATCTTTACTATATGATTTAATTTATAATGTTCTTCATTACTCTTTATGTGCAGATAAACCTTGTATATCACCTTATGAAGCATGAAGCATGTGCATGTACCTTGTTGTTGTCCAATTAACATAAATTGATTGATTGATAAAAGTTTGTCATATGCCTATCTGCTTTTTCAATACACTTAAATTATGCAATTTGTACATTACATATATTTTTGTTGTCTGTTGCGGACATTTCCATCACAAAGGAAAGTATTCACTATAGTCTTTTAGATAAAGGAAACTCGTTATAAAAAAAATGGACTTCAAACAAAGGATTTGTGTTAAGTATAGTCATTGACTTTTGGATGCTGCTGAAGTAGACGTCACATATGTTCACACCAGTTGTAGCCAATCTTTCACTCAAGTAGAATGTAGTTGAATAGACTACTCTCAGATGCTGTTACCATCAAAATTCAAATTTCTCCCTTAGTTTTTGATACTATTGTAATTGATGTAATGTCAAATATGATGTAGTTTACAAAATGTTGTCCTTTAAGTATGGCTTGGTTTAAAAGTTGTATTCAACAATCAGTAATTTAAATCAGCGCAATCTGTCGATGGCTCAGTTCAACTATATTCTGAAACACCTTTAAAGCTGGGATTTCCGAGGTGCAGAAGCGGAGGCTGGAGAAGTGATTTCAGTGGCAGTCTGCTTGTAGCAAAACAGGGTACTTTGGTATCATACCGACCACACCAATAAATCAACTTCCAAATAAGATTTTAACCCTAACCTAAAACATAGTACACCTTGAGGTTAGGTTATAATTATTAGGTGTGGTAGGTATAATACCAACGTACCCAAAACAGTACCATTAAATTAAATTAAACTTTTCTTCCGCGCCAAGAAAACCCAGCTTAACATGGAAATGGAATGTGTAGTTCTCGCAATAGTCGAAGGTATGGTTGTGAGAAAATTCAGGGAAGATTGTATATTAAAAATTATTCTACCTGTTAGGCTTGCTGAGGATGCTGTCGCAGGTGCTGATGAACAAGCACACAAGATCGTCCCACACCGTCACTGTGTCCAGCAGTCTGAGCGCAGAGCCGCAGGAGATTGCGTCTATTGTGCTGGCCCTGCGCACTCTGGGCAGCTTCAACTTTGATGGTAACCTCTAAAGTTGTGTCTAATTTTGCAACCAATTGTCTAGAGTTTTAATTAAGAGGGTAGGTTAGCATTACAGTACACTTTGGATAATATGTTGTTGCAATAATTTAATATTTTGTTAAAGTAAATTTATGTCGATCCATGTGTTTTAGCAGTGGCGGTGCCAAGAGGGAGGGCTAAAGCATCCCATTGGACCCTGGGAAAATAAATTCAAACACACATTGTCTTAAAAACGTAACAGAGGTTATGAGCACAGTTCTAAACATACTAAATCACTTTAAAAAGTCACCTAACTGCTTTAAAAATAAAAATTGCAGGATAAGTGTAAGAAAGGGCCATGTAGCCCTAACTTTTCCTGTTCAAATACAAAAATTTCATTTAATTTAAAAATATCAAATTTTTTTAAGGGAACTCTTAAACCTCTCTTTTTTTTGGGAGGGTGAGGGAATCATTGTGACAACAGATTGCTTTACAGCCCTAAAGTAAAATCTACTCATATTAAAGAATAAATAAAAAATGTAAGATAATTTTTTCATTTGCTCCCCAAATTTTTATTCCTTAACTAGGGGTGCCCTGTGTAAGGATAGCTATTTTTAAATTTTTTAGAGGCTTAACTGTGTGATCATTGGGTCAAAATATACATGTAACATCGATTAGACATCATCGAGGTGTTACGATGGGATGAGAAATGTACTTTCGCAGGATAAAATGTAAATGTAATTTCAATTTCCTAGTTTATCTTGTTGTCTTAGGTCACTCGCTGCTACAGTTTGTCAGACGCTGCGCTGAACACTTCCTCAACTGTGAACAGCAGGAGGTGAGACTAGAGGCAGTGAGGACGTGTAGTCGTCTGCTGAGACTGGCTGTGGAGAGTTCTAGCAGTAGACACAGTCAGACTGTCACATCTACTGTCAGTGACGTGCTGGCTAAACTGTTGGTCGTGGGAATCACTGATACTGGTAAATGTCTACATTTATTTATTTTCATTTTTATGGTCAAAATTTGTTTGTGTCTTCTGTTTAAAAAAAAAAAAACTTTTTAGAATTTATATTATGATAGTAGGCTTACCAAAATGGGATAGAGTACCCTCTGGTACAAGAAACCCAATAACCTTTACACTACAGTAAAAGCCCGCTAATCCTGTATTTGATGGTCCAGCACTTATGATAATCCGGCATTGGGGAGTTATCACATCGGGAGCGATCGCAGACGATGGTAGTGATTTGCAGACATCGCAACTGACTAGCAGACATCAGGAGCAATTGGTAGCCGTTAGAAATGATCGGCAAGACATTAGTGGCATTCAATTAAATTCAGGGGCGATTTATTATTTTTTTTCAACATTTTAAATATTTTATTTTTGTAATACAATAAAATAAAACATAGACTAGTTGAGCGTTGAGCAATAATTTCCTTAGTCTCCCAAAAACATCTGATTTTAGAAGACGTTCAGTAATCCATGTTTCATTAATCATTACTTAAAGTTAGCGGTGGGGCACACCCAGGTGTGTATTTTAAGCTAAAAATGAATGCAATGTGAATTTAGAATGGAGTTAGATGACCTGTTTAGCTCAAGGACATCTGTGCCCAGTTTCAAACAATCAAAAAGCTATGGTACCGACTTTCCTCAGAATCAAACCGGAAACCTTTTGATCATCAGTAATTTGAAATTGAAAAAATCCTTCTAGATTAGTGAGTATCTCCTCCATACACAAAAATGTTATAAGCTTTCTCTGTCACTAACAGAATTTTTACCAAGTAAGGAAGATTTGAGTTTGAAATAGAGATGTCTTCAGGTTCAATGGTGGCCAGGAAGTTGTTAATCTTTTTAAATAATCTTTCAGCCCTTCTGCTCTTTGTTACCTCGTTTTCCAAACCTCTTCTTATGTTGCAGATCTAGAGGTTCGCTACTGGGTGATGGCTTCTCTAGATGACAGTTTTGACAACCACCTGGCTCAGGCAGAGAATCTCAGTGCACTGTTTGTAGCCATGAACGACGAGGTGTTTGAGATCAGAGAGCTTGCGCTGTGCACGATCGGCAGACTGAGCTCTTTGAATCCTGCCTACGTCATGCCTTCCCTGCGAAAAACACTGATACAGGTTTGTTTTGGGTTCTAAACATACGTGTTCAGAGTTTGATGGTTTTTAAAATTGTATTTTCTTAATGTAGATGGTTAATATGTATGTATGATGTTCACTTTATCTCAGATGTTGTTATTTTATTGAAAAGATATATAATTTGTTGGGAACTTCATATCCTTTGTAGTAGCCTTTAATTAATTCTCTTATTGCAAAATGGGCTACCATTTTCTGTTATGGCTCTAAACTTGAAAGTTGATACTGAAAACCTTAACTTTGTTTGAAATATATTAATTGTGTACACTATTCTGAGTTATAACATGTTTCCTGAACCTCCTTCCTGTTTTGGTAATATTATCTGAAAAAGTGAAACATTCTGTCCATTAGAAACATATGAATTGCTTTGAATTGTTTTGTTTAGAAAACGGTTGGGTTAAATAAAAATGTCTAGGGAGCAAATGATTCTAAATAATAAGTATGCACCATCTATTTTACTTTTGAAAATATCGCGCACACATTTAAAACTTCATGGTTTGGGTTTTAAAATTTTGAAGTTGACAAGTAGGCTATGCTTGAAAAATGGTGACCAAGTTTCAAAAACAGATTTGATGTTTCCAATGTTGACTAGTAGACGAGTTTATCTACTTAAAATGTATACTTTTTGTTTTTATTTTTATTTTAAGTGATTTTGGTCCAGATGAAATGTCCTTCAAATTTATATCTGATTTCTTCTCACATAATTTAATAATACTCATCCCTTGAACGATAACGCTCTCCTTTAAGCCAATATGAACTCATAAAGCTTACACATTACAAATTTCTTTCTCTTTGTAAAAAATCTGCTAACTTAACCTTAAACGGAACCACTAAGTACTTTGATTCACAGACAAAATATTGTAAACGACGTTGTCCACAGTTCCTGACAGAGTTGGAACACAGTGGGATGGGCCGCAACAAGGAGCAGAGCGCTCGTATGCTTGACCACCTGGTAGTCAACGCTCCACGGCTCATCAGGAACTACATGGAGCCCATACTGAAGGTGTTGGTGCCCAAACTGAAGGAGGCTGAGCCCAACCCTGGTGTGGTCATTAGTGTGCTCACTGCCATCGGAGATTTGGCCGAGGTGACTGTAAAATAAGCTCACTATATAATGTAGCATGGGTAGTAGGCATTGTGAATGTTTTTTTTTCACATTTGAGTTATCATGTGAATGGAGAGACAAGAATGCTATTTCTCTAGATTTCGGTTCAGTCTATTCGCTTAAGAAATTTAAAAAAAAAGTTATTCAAACTGCCTCAGAAATTAAAAAAAAAAAATGTGGAGTACCTCAAGGGTCTATTATAGGGCCATTGCTATTTTTGTGATATTTAAAGAACACAAGCAGTGCTCTAGTATGTAAACCTAGAAGTGAATTGTGCCTATATGCTGACGATGCTAGTTTAATCATTTCCTCTCCTACACTGGAACAAGCAGAAATATTTGCTTTCCTATAAATTGGAAATTTGGGCAGTTATCTGGTGAGCCAGAATCTAATATTAAATTACAAAAAAACAAATGTTATCACATTTACAACACCACAAAATAAAAATTCTAATCACCCAATAATAATGTATGACTCTCAACTTATTTAGCACAAACTTTTTGGGCCTAACAATAGATCATAATTTGAACTGGAGTGAGCATGTAAATAAAATAGTTTCAAAAATCAACTCTGGAATTTTTACCCATTCAATAATGTCTCTGTACTGTGATGTCAAAACTTTGAAAAACATTTACTTTGAATTAAATATCCATTCACATATTTACTTTGGTATCTATCTATTAAGAGCAACGACTAAAATCAATCTAGATTAAATATTAAAAACATAGAAAAACTAGAGGACGGCCAGTGGTCAAAAACTCAGACCAAAAATATGTAATGTGCAAACTTCTCTGTTTTAACCTCACACTGTAATATGATTGGAATTTCTTTAATTTGTTTTGAATTTCTGTTAATTGGTTTGTTATTTTATCACAAGCATGGGAACCCATAAGGCCCATATTATTTTTTTAAACTTTAAATTCATTTTATGTGCTTATTTTTTAACCCATTAAATTACAAAGAGATTCTGCACATCTACACAAAAATAAATTTTTAACGTTATGTGTAGATTTTCCCTGTGATGCACACAAGCTAAGAAAAAAATTTTTCAAGAATCATGCCTATTAATATGTAGGATACTGTAAAATGTAGATACACTTAAAACGCAAAGCACAAATCCTAAAATTACAGTGAAATATTTAGTCGACATCAACACACTTAAGATGCCAACCTGATACACTCAATAGGCTTCCAATTTTACAAAAGGATGAGAAGTTTATTTGCACTGTTTAGTCTTTTAACCAGTAAAATATAGGAAGTATTTATGTTGTAGGTGAACGGTGTGAAGATCCAGCCGTGGATGGGAGAGCTGCTAGCCATCCTGCTGGAGATGCTGGGAGACGCCAGTTCCCCTGAGAAGCGTGGTGTAGCGTTGTGGGCTCTTGGACAGCTGGTGGGGGCTACAGGGTTCGTGGTGAGACCCTACAACCAGTACCCTGCGCTGCTGGACACTCTTATTAACTTCCTCAAGACTGAGCAGCAGCCAATCATCAGGTGGATTACTTTGACTTTGATTTGTGTTGGGTCAAAATAGGTAGAACAACAGCTCCTTGCATAACGCTCCCTTTAGAAACTTTTGAAAACTTTAGAAAAATTGGATAAAGTCAAAATAGATTTCTTTGTAAAATGAAACGTCACTGCCTGTCGCTATGCTGGACTGTTCTGAACATCTAAAAACAATGAAGTAACAGTAACATTGTGGTACTAGTCATATGGGATAGCGAGTGACTGCGATGAATACTCATGAATCACCAAGGTCAGTATTGCGGTAACTTTGACTTCATAGTTACTTTTTGACTGTCATTAACTATCCCTAAGATTAGTTTTACTCTTTGCTAGGTTCTTTTTGTGTAATTATTTGACAATCAAATGTCTTTGTTCATTTTCTTACACACTGTTTCTGCATGACTAATTGACCATCAATCAATAATTATCTAACGCTAGAAGTTAAAACTTTCTAACTTTAACAATAGCCTACAATTCAGGTCTAAAGTCATCACCATGACTTTAGTCTTTAAAAGTATTAAAGCCTTTCCTAACTTCTCAGTCAAGAAGGTAAGATATTGATTAAGTAAAACTATGAATAGAATGAATAGGGTTTAAAATTAAATAAAATTAACTGTTGTAAGGAAAATTTTAATTTTAATTTCTTGTAAAACTCAGTAGTTTTATCGATGTAGTACTCAAGAGTTCTTTAATCAAAGATAACCATTGTTACGTGGGGCACTCCAATATGATTGTTTGATTTGTACCCTACAGCTTGGTAATCTCCTTTGTTTGTCTAGACGTGAGACCATAAGAGTGCTGGGCTTACTGGGGGCGCTGGACCCGTACAAACATAAGATGAACCTTGGACAGATAGACACCCAGGTGGACTCTACGGCTCTGCTGTCCATGACGGACCTCAAGTCTGAGGCAGAGGCTAGTCACGGTTTGTAAAACTTGCATTTCCTTTGTCCGTTTAGTTGGCTTCCTAGCAATTTCCTTTTCAGTGCTATAGTTGGACAGTTAAACTAAGAGTGTTTTAACGAGTACCATTCGGTTATACACTTAGGTACCGATGGTGCTGGTACCGTTACTGAGAATTGAAAATTGATTTTGGCCAAGAACTGGTGCCAGCACCAACCTAGAAAAGTGGTATCGTAACATCACTGATATTTTTTTGGAAGTAAAGCTATTTAAGAAAAAGATTATTAAATTCCTTAAGAACTTTGAGCTCAAAGGTTGTCAACAGATAGTTTCCAACACCCTACATACAATGGTAGTCAGTTGTCATGCAACATATGCAAAAAATTTCTATCTTAATTCCTTGTGTTTGTCACTTATCTCAGAATTGACGACGAGTGAAATGTTGGTCAACATGAGTTCGTCTACGCTGGAGGAGTATTACCCAGCTATAGCCATCGCCATGCTGATGCGGATCATACGAGACCCAACTCTATCTCAGCATCACACCATGGTGGTCCAGGTAGGTCCTACTTTAGATTTGATTAGCTAGTCTAACACCGAGTTGTGCAAACTTTAGATAAGATGAGTTGAAGGTAAAGTAGATTGAAGGAAGTAGACTTGTCAAACTTGCTGGTCTAGTTGTAAACAAGTTACATGTGTTTCAAGAAAATGAAATGTGTTATAAAAAGAGATTGTTTCTTTAGCATCCTCTTAAGCTGATATTAGACCTACTGCATTTTACAGTAAATGCAAATAACGATTTCATGTAATTTTCTATGTAAAATAATGATAATTTTTTATGAGTTACAATTTTTTTTTTAAACAACAGGCAGTCAACTGTAGCAAATGTAACCATAAACTCTGCAAATTCCAATACTCAAAACTTTTATGCTTTGTTTTATTCCAGGCTATAACTTTCATATTCAAATCGCTCGGTATCAAGTGTGTTCCGTACATCTCCCAAGTGATGCCGAGTTTCCTCAATGTTATCCGGACAGCTGATGTCAACTTCAGGGAATTTCTGTTCCAACAGCTGGCGTTCCTCATTGCCATCGTCAAGCAGCACATCAGGAACTATCTGGATGACATATTTGTACTTATTAAGGTAGATAAATGTTTGTAATGTTTGTTGAGGCTAATGGCTTTATTTAACGTTTTAAAAGAGCAGTCAAATCCTTAAAAGAGTCCTTGGAGCCTAGACGTTCCAACTCATAAAACAATTTCAAAACTACAAAGATAACTTCTAATCTCATAGTGGCCTAGATTTATTTAAATTACTATCACTTTGGTATTTTAAAAAATCTTTTGAGATGGTTTGACATTAACATTGCTCTTATGGCAGGCAAATCCAAGGTGGCCGCTAGCCTTCATGGACCTTGGAGAACAATTAAAAAACTACAAAGGAAATTTCTAACCCCACAGTGCTCTAGATATTTAAATTACAATCACTTTGGTATATGAACAAATATTTTGGGATGGCAAATAACTCTTCAGCAGCTGTTTGAAATTATCCAAGATGGCCGTCAGCCTCCAAGGACTCTTAATTGATTTATGTTTAGAAATCATGATTGCTTGATATTCCACTGATATGAAAAGCGAATGATTGAAATTAAATTAAACCTCAAATATATTCAGACTTTTCTAATTGATGTCCTGGAGAACCTGAGATTGAAAGATGACCACTATGGCTACATTAATATTGTATTCTATTTAAGAGATATCTCATTTAACCATGAATTCGCCTACCATCATGGTTCTAAGAGGCCCATGCTTGGAATGTATCGAGTAATGCAAGGGGTGAGCCAATACAGTACCAGAATGATCTGTAAAGGACAATTTTTAGTGGCAACATGAGGATGTGCTGCCTTTTTTGAGCCACCGTCAAATATTTTGTTTAAAATAAAAGTTTTGTTTTCTTGGAAATTTGACTTACAATGCTGCTAGCTCTTCTATATAGTATGTAAGCTAGGCATTGGAAACACTTAATTTTTAACACAAACGTTTTGAATCTTTCAGGGATTAATAATTTGTACATTAGTCCTGAACTGTATTATAAACTTGTGTGCATTTGGCGAGGTTGTGATTCCAACTCAGTCTCAACATATGCAGATTAATGCAACAGATCTAGTGGTTAGGAACATAATGTAACTTTTGAATGTTCTTGTAGGAGTTCTGGACCACCAACAGCACTATCCAGAGCACTCTGATTCTGTTGGTAGAGCACATCGCGGTGGCGCTTGGCGCTGAGTTCAAGATATATCTGCCTCAGTTGATGCCCCAGATTCTGCGGGTGCTCATCCATGACACTAGCAAAGAACGCACGGTTACTGTGAAGGTAAAGCCAACCTTTCAACACTTGACTTAGTTCCTTTATTCCTGAGTGGGGGCTACAAACTCCTTCCACTGTACCCAATTTTGGGCCATCCCTTTTACTTTGCCCTTGCTCTTGCCTTCTTCCTTAATTTCTCTTTTTTGAACATTCTCCAATTTACCTTTGATCTTCCTCTCTTTCTTAGAGTAAACCATGGTTCTGTAGTGTTTCAGTGGTCAGTCTCATTCATAAAGTTTTACACTCAAAACAAATTATCGTTCGCCAGTATCTCACAATTTGTTATGCATTTTTAAATCCATAATAAATCAGGGAAATAAAAAAAATAATAATAATTGGGATTTATTAAGTGAAAATATTTTAAGACACAGAGAAGAAAGAGCAAGACATATTTGGTTTGGAGATTTTAGAACTGAGTAGAATGGGAGAAGAGAATTTCTAGGAAAATGGAGTTGATGTTGGTCTAGCGATGAAAATGGAGTTTATGTTGGTCTAGCGATGGAAATGGAGAGAGAGCTAGAAGAAGGTATGTTATAGAGGTGAAGATATGTAGATGAGAGAAGTGAGATGACAGATAATAAATGAAGTGGGACTGTGGAGGTATAGTAGATAGAGAGGTTTAGTCAACGCTCTAAAATAACGGGAATCAACTTAAATTCGTTCCAGTTTTACAACCCAATCTTAATTTTTTTTAGCTAACCAACTTCATTGTTTCAGCTGCTGATGGCGCTACAGAAGTTTGGCAGCAACCTAGACGAGTACCTCCACCTAGTGCTGCCTCCAGTGGTCAAACTGTTTGACGCCACGGACTGTCCGCTAGCTGTGTGTCGAGTTGCTATGGAGACTATAGACCAACTCTCCGATACACTTGACTTTACAGACTTTGCTTCTCGCATCATCCATCCTCTGGTATGTGATAGTTTTAAATAACCGCCTAAACATACATAGCAAGTTTACTACAAGCTTATATGTCAACAATTCAGTGGCGGCTGGTAAGTTAAAGTTAAAGTAGTGGGAGGACGCATACAAATTTTTTGGGACTTTACTGATACCGGGGAAAAATAAAAAAGATAAAAAGTTGAACTATTTAAACTTTTGTTTAGGCCAATTTTGTTGATATAAACTGTTTTATTCATACTGCAATTAATTTTCTTTATTTTCTCTTTGTTCGTAATTAATTATCCTTACCAATTGAACAACACCTCTAGAGAAACAATAGTATATCATTATTTTTATAGGAAATATTGACAAATAAATGTAATTCAATTCTAAATTTTCAAGTAAAAATTAAATAATGAAATTAAAAATTGTTACGTTATAAATTGGCCTTTTGTACTTGAAAATTTAGAATTACATTACAATAGTATATTAATTTGATTAACACCTCAAATACTTGCAGCACGATGAACATAACCTCTACGAATCATTAAATACTGCATTCACTTATTTGACAGATAATATTGTGTTGACAGTCAACAGATTGTAGCACTCGTTATGGCAATAGTTAAAACTACTGGACGGAGTTCAAAATGCCCTATATCTATTGGATTAGAGCCTGACGCAGCGCTGTAATATGGTAAAATTTTTCCATGCAGTTTAAATGGGAGATTGGACTAGTATCTACTGAGTCCCCGTGTACTACCTGTTGCAAAAACATGTTGCTTCCTTTATTACTCGTCCTAAAAACATTGACCCTTTTAATATTCAAATGTACATTCAAATGCAGGAATAAAAATAATATTATTGTTAATTATTATTATTTTTACTATTGCTTTGAAAATGGGAGGACTCCATACCAGAGTCCTTATGGACCAGCCGCCACTGCAAAAATTATTTGCCGAGGTATGTTCTAGCCATTATTTGTTAACCTAATGCATTATGAAAGAAGTAATGGATACAGAACTAACTTACACAAGAGTATGAAGAAACCCCCTTGTAGGGGTGAAATATAAAATTATTTGTGCCGTGAACTTTTTTATGTACTGTCAACTTCCTGGAATTACTTTCTGGGGTATGTTAGCTGTATACCCATTACCTCTTCAAAAATATTTATCTAAGCCAAGTGCATTTTCCTCCATAACTGACCTTGTTAACGTAATGGTAACACTGTAATATCAAAAGTGTATAGAAAGCTCAAGAATGTAAAAGACCTGTAGTAAAAGCTATGTTTGGTATGTCACACATTGCAGGTTCGTAGCCTAGACCAATGTCCGGAGTTGAGAAGCACAGCTATGGAGACACTGTGTGCGTTGGTTCTTCAGCTGGGCCGCAAGTATAAGATATTCGTACCTCTAGTCAGCAAAGTCATAACTAAACACCGCATCGTCTGTGCCAGATACGAACAGCTCACCACTAAAATTTTAACTGTGAGTGACTATTGTTGTTGTTAATTTTCTCAACGTTTGAAGAAAAAATAATTGTATACTTAGTTGTTTGATGCTCTGGGAGTTTCTATCTTTACATGAGTTTAAGTTAAAATATTTTTATAACTGGTTATAGTTGTTAAAACTTGGATTTTAAGTGTGTTTCCTCAAATTTGACTGACGTAAATCCTAACAAAAATATTGACACTGACACTCTCTGTAAAGTATGCACAAGATTAGCAATAGCTAAACCATGCAAGGAAGGCAACAACCCCCTTGGCAGGCTATGAAAGCCAATTTACAACTTGACTACTAGTTTTTTTTAATTAGTTTTTAAAGTGACTTTAAAATAAAACAAATTAAAAAAAAGAAAAGTACCCTAGAAGTAAATGAAGTTTTGTTATTTAAATGAGCATCTTGCTGTTGGTAATTTTAAATTTGTTTAAATTGTCTGCAAAACCGATTTATTAGCAAGATTTTGTTCATGTTCGGATAGCCACATAGATATAGTAAAAACCTTCAGAATCAGAATCAGAATCAATAATCTTTATTCGGTCTGTATATACATACATGAATAGAGTCAATACATTGAATACATAGGCTACAAATAGTTTTACAGAAATCTTAACATATATAATCAACAATTAATATCGGTTTTATACAAAAAAAAAATAAAAACCTTCATTCTCAATAGAAACAAATCTATACATTAAGAACATCAAGTATATGCAAAAATTCAAATATGAAGAGATATACATTACAAACTGATAGATTTATAACTAATATTCTTGTCAGATTTAAAAGGTGAATGAAAATCAAATAAAAAACTCTTCTATAGAGTAGCAATTCTTTGTTAAAAGATAAGCTTTAACTTTATCCCTGAAACATTATTTATCCATATGAGTTTTTAAATTCAGTGGCAATTTATTTAAAAATTTTGTCCCCATGTTAGTCGCTTTTTTTTGTCAATTGTATTTCTGTTTCTAGTATAGTAGGAATGTATATCTCTACGGAAGATGTGATTGTGGAGCTGACTTTTTGTGCAAATTAACCTTCTGAAAATTACTGCTTACTAGATTTTGAGTGAAGTTAATTTAAATTATCAACACATTTTTTACATTTCCTACAGGATTCAACAATAGTAGCAGAAGAAGATTTTCTACTGACAAGACATAGAATTGCAAGAAACAAGATAAGAGATGCTGCTATGAACACATCAGACACAACGACTATAAAGCGAGTGAGTTGTTTAAACTGAATTGAACAATTACAACACAATTTAGATGCTTATGGTAGGCCTAAAACATGATGGTTAGTTAGGTAATTAACATGCTGTTGTTTCTATAACAAGGTATTACCCGTGACTTCAAAATAAATTTCTTTCACTTAGTCTAGGTTTATGAATACAACTTGAGTAAACAATATAGGCCTACTGTACTGTAAAAAAAAAATAAATAAATAAAAATGTTCAACAGAAGAAATTGTCTGTGACATGAATAATATTTAAGTTAGTTAAGAACTTCCTAAACCAATACACCAATCCAACACCAATTTAATGTAACATGCAACATTCCTAACTGAAGCAACAAACCAAACCCACAAAACTGACCTCATACAATACTTATGTGAATGAGACCTTGCCAAAACAACCGTGGATCTAGTAATGGTCAAAACCAGAATTTAATACCGAGTATAATTGCCATAATATGTTTGGCTTCAGATGCACACGTCAGCTCAGAACCTGCAGAAAGCTTGGACAGCCACCAGAAGGGTGTCTAAGGACGACTGGCTGGAGTGGCTGCGGAGATTAAGCATCGACTTCCTGAAGGAATCTCCGTCTCCAGCCCTCAGGCAAGTGAATCGCTGGGGAGATTAGTGTGATTTCTCTGTAGGCGCTAGAGAAAATATATGTCTTGAAGACTATGATGTCAAGGAGATGGTCCTGATTTGGGTAAAGGACCTATAATTGGCCTATATTTTGGCCAAGACCGTGATCTACCTTTGCTTTAAATTTCAATTCCATCCCAGAAGAATTAGAAGTTTTTGCCTTCACAGACAGATACAATCTAGGTTTGACCAAACCTAACTCAAACCCAACCCAATCCAAACTAACCTAGATTAGGTGTTTTAGAATCTACCTAGAAATCACCCTTTCAGTCACACCTCTATAAGACTCTATAATGTCAAGGGGTAGGGGATGAATTTGTGTTATCGAGGTATTCTTAATAAAGATGTTTGTTTTATCGAGGTTTAATACTGCCATTATTCGTCTTATAGACGTTACCTACTGGACACTGCACAGGCACGTGCCAAATAATGACTGAGGAAGGAAGAGGGATGGGTGGGGGTTTCATGTTGAGACAATCTTCTGTTTATTTTGAAAACTGTGTACTATGGAGGTTAAAATCATGAGAAATTCGTCTTAAAGAAGTTGCATTCGTCTTGTAGAGGTTTTGTGCTAAGAATATTCATTGTATAGAGGTTAATCAGTCCTAGCATATTATATTAATATATCACAGACATATTCGTCTCATGGAGGTTTTTAACCTAATGACTAGGTTGTATAGAGGTGCTTTTAGCATTGACCTTTATGAAAGTTTGAAGGGGATTTCGTTTTACTGAGGTTCGTACTAACGAGGTTCGACTGTACTTAATTTTATTATGGATAATCACTGACACCTCATTCTTTATGTAACAATGTTCCACTCAGGTCTTGCTGGGCTCTCGCGCAGACCTACTCACAGCTGCCGAGAGACTTGTTCAACGCAGCGTTTGTGTCGTGCTGGACGGAGCTGACGGAAGCTCTGCAGCAAGAACTGATCAGAACACTGGAGCAAGCCCTCATGGTGCCCGACCTTCCTGAGATCACTCAGACAATCCTCAACTTGGCGGAGTTCATGGATCATTGCGACAAGGTGATGAGAGGATATATGTTCCTCTTTTGCTTCCTAGAAGAAAGAGAGAATCTGGCTCAGGCCTTGCCTGAAGTAATGAGTAAAACTGTTGTGGGGTAGAACCATCGTAGGATATAACGACATGTTTGTCAGGTTGTTGCTAAGGTTTGCTTTGCCGCAGGGTCCGCTACCACTGGACCCCCAGCTGCTGGGAGAGAGAGCCATGCATTGTAGAGCCTACGCCAAGGCTCTGCACTACAAAGAGGAGGAGTTCCACAAGGCTCGCACCTCTCAGGTCCTGGAGGCTCTTATATCCATCAACAACAAGCTGCAACAGAAGGAGGCTGCTGAAGGTAGCTAATGCTAAGTTTAAACCCAATTTGTTCTGGATGAAGCCTCTCCTCACTACAAATCTCTTATCTCTAATCCATCAAATCTCAAGTAAATATTTAAATATAAAATTCAATATTCTAGATTCCAATTGAATCTTGAATCGTATACTTGTATTTCACTGTTGTCCTTTCTAAAATTATCTCCATAGTTTGTTTAAGGCAGTTGGTAGAAATGTCCAAGTCCTTTTAAAGATTGCAGAAAATAATCTTTAATGTGGCCGTGATTGAAAGAATTGAGATACAGTAAAATCTCACTAACTCGACAGTCAAAAGCTGATAGGGCGCATGTCTAGCTGGCTTTTGCGTTTCACTTTTCAAGTTTTAATTGTTGAATATTCTTCATTTCTTTGAAGATTTTACTCGATACCAAAAAGTACTCATGTAAGTAAAAAATTTATTTGTAAAAATTAATTTGTTATATTTATTAAAGCCCATTAAAAATTTCCTCTGGATAACTCGACAACTTCTGGGACCACAAATTGTCAAGTGAGTGAGGTTCTACTGTATTAATCAAGTTGATAATATGGCTTAATCTTATATCAAATCACAGACTTGAAATATGTATTTTAAGCATTGCATTTTCTTAAAAGGCAGAGAAAACACACTGTCCTTCCTTCATGCTTAGTTCCAGACAGAAACAAAAGTACGCATCCTAAATTACTATTAAAATCTTTCCCAGAAAAAGTCCTCCTTAGTCAAGATGGCAAATTTTATTTTCCTGCCAGGTCTGGTCGAGTATGTGATGTCCCACCAAGACGAGCACCTGAAGGTCCAGGAGAGGTGGTATGAGAAGCTGCACAACTGGGAGAAGGCTCTGCATGCGTATGAGGAGCGACTCACTGACAACCCCAATGACATAGAGCTGGTGCTGGGCCAGATGCGGTGTATGGAGGCTCTGGGAGATTGGTGAGGAAACGACATTATGTGTGTGTTTGTTTGAATGACAATGACGAATCTTTAATCGTATGGAGCACTCTTGGACAGTATATCGTGTGCCTGGATAGGCGAAACATGTTGCGAGTCTAACTACCATGTTTACTTGTTGATGTGAAGGTATGTATTTTGAATATTAAAAAAATATCAACTAGTTTATCATTAGCAGTATTTTATGTCAGAGTCAAAAAGTCCCCAATATTTCAGTAATTCACAGATGTCCTCGATATTTTTGTAATCTCTGGTAAATAATTGAGTTTTCACCGAGTAAATTATTGGGCGCTAGGAGTTTTTGTGCAAAGTCTAAGAAATCACACCTTTTATCAGCTGATGATAGGAGTATGCGGTGCACTGAAAAAGTCGGTACGGTACGGTTCTGGCTTAATTTCCGTCATCGGTTCGGTACAGCCTATTATAATAATAAATTACTTTCAATTTACCATCGTAGTCAAGGTAGTATGTGGTTCTACGTAAAAGGCTTATCTTAGATTTTTTTTTTCGATTGACAATTTATTACTAGTGCGATGATGTTATGACTTTCCCCAATTCTATGCTATCATTAAAATAATAGTTTTATGATAACTGTTAAATTTTATTTAAATAAAAAAATTTTTAATTTTTTAATTTTTTAGTTCTTACATTAAAAAAAACCTTAATTTATAAAGCATCTACTACCCACTCTAAATGTTTGATTTGTGTTGAATACATAGACAAAATAAATTAATAGCATTTTTGTCTTATTATGGAAGCATTCTAAGATTATCTCTTAAAACCGAGAAACTGCAAAAGAATCCTTTTGTAAAGAGATTGAACGGTCGGTTTAGAAAGAGGCATCTCATGCAAGGCGAATACCAATGACCTTTGTTGTAGGGGTCAACTACACAGTGTGGCCAGTGGTCACTGGACAGAGCTGACTGACACAGGTAGAGAGCGCATGTCTCGCATGGCCGCTGCAGCCAGCTGGGGTCTGTCCCAGTGGGACTCCATGGACCAGTACGTATCGTGTATCCCACGGGACACCACAGACGGAGCCTTCTACCGTGCAGTGCTGGCTGTACATCGGGAGCAGTACGCTACAGCTCAGCAGGTGCAACAATACATTTGTCAAAGTTTTGATGGTTGATTATTCATTAGGTTTCCTTTTGTGTGTCAACAGGCAATATTGTTACTTCCCATAAACATTTAAATCGATACAGCACAGCAGGGTAAACCGGCAAAAATAGTCAATCCAAACGATTTCCGAACAATGCAAGTATGTTGGAAATTGTGTCGATACCTAGTTAAGTAGTTTGTGTTTTTAGGTTTACTATATCCCAAAATGTACATGAGTTTAAAGGTCGATTAACACATATCAGTTCAGTCACAGTTCAGTTACAGTCCAGTCACAGTTTCGTCTCAGTTGCATCCACAATTCTTCAGTCAACTTTCCGTCAGTCTTCCGTCTCTAATATTTAAAGTGATGTTACAGTAAAAATTTTTAAATTAAAATCCTAAATTCTATCATATTTTCATCGTCCATCTTGTTGATTGTTACAAACAGTACTCAAAATATAAACACAATCATTTAAATAACAAAAACACTATTTTCTAACCTCAAACACGTCCCTCAGGCGTCCGAACAATCCAAAAATATCTGTGGAAAGAAATCTGAAATTGACTGACAGATGCCGACAGAGCGACTGACCAACCTGCGACGGATGAGTGTAGATAACGCAATAGAAAATCCATTAAAGAATGTTTTGGTTGAGTGTGACGTGACACATGACTGATATGTTTGAACCAACCTTAAGGGATAAACTATGTTCAAGGCAAAACGAGAATCTATACTAAGGTTAGAAATGTACTTTATCCCAATACAGGTAAGTACTGTCGTAGACTAACAGTCCTATCTTAGACGCATCCTCGCATGAGTTACAAGGTAAGAGACCAATATGACAGTGTAAAATTTATCACAATCTCACTATAAAATTTACTTGAAAAAGTTAGTTCTTTTTTATATGTGGTTCATAAAAAAAAAAAAAAAAAAAAAAACTGCACTGGCACAAATCTATTTTATTATTGTGAATCCAAAGGAAAGTGTCAAAATTCATTGAAAAATTTGGTTAAACCAATCAATTATAAAATTTATGAAAGATGTGCTAACTTTTAGTTTTGCCTAAGCAAATGCATTAAAGTCAGTAAAAGAGGTAATAATATTGTTGCAGCTGATAGACTCAGCCAGGGACTTGTTGGACACAGAGCTGACAGCCATGGCCGGGGAGAGCTACCAGAGAGCGTACGGTGCCATGGTGTCAGTGCAGATGTTGGCAGAACTGGAGGAGGTGGTGCAGTACAAGCTGGTTCCAGAGAGACAACCAACCATCCGCAAGATGTGGTGGGACAGGCTTCAGGTATGTCAAACTTAGAAAAATGTTTGTGTAGCAGTATTTTTTTATCTAAATCTTTTTAGTAATCATGACATATGAAAAAAACAACTTTCTGAAATGAATCTTTCTGGTTCGTGGGCTTACCTGAACGGTAACAAGTCCACTCCGGCTCAAGAAACACTCTCAAGAAGATTTTTCACCGTACACAAAATTAGAATATTTCACTGTCATGGACATCAATTTCAACAAGGAAGGTTTGAGTTGGGGATAGTAATCTGAAGACTGTCAGAGCCACTCTGAAGACTTCATTTCAATTCAAACCTTCTTGGGTTGAAAATTATGTCAGTGGCAGTGAAATAGTCCAAATTTGTGAACGATACTACGTTTTTTTGTGCTCTTGTGCAAGAGTGGACTCTTTTCCTTCCAGGCAAGCCTGTTACCTTTAAATATCCCTAAAATATTTATACCATTGTACTTATGTCCTTATCCTGTTCAAACAATAGCTAAGATGACGTATTATATAGTCATACAAGTTTTAAGCCCTTTTGTTTTATTGCTTGGATTTTTAACACTCACTGTGAAAACAGATTTTCATTGAAGACAGTTCAGACAAGATTAGGTACTTTGATTCATTTAGTTTGTCTGTTTGCTTTTAATACATGTCCCCAATGATTTTATTTATGTCTATGTAAAATTATCAAAATTGTTGTACATTTTATTACAGGATGAAAAGTAATCAGCCTTAGACAAACTATGGCTGTGAAGAATTTGATCCAGTGTATAATTTTTCAGTGTTATTACCTTTTTGTTTAGTTTGAGTGAATTCCTCATTGTTTGTTTGCTGCAGGGATGCCAAAGAGTGGTGGAAGATTGGCAGAGAATCATCCAAGTTCACACTCTTGTAGTCAGTCCTGAAGAAGACATGTTCACGTGGCTCAAGTATGCGTCCTTGTGTCGCAAGGCGTCTCGGCTGGTATGTGATAGATAAGGAAGAAACTAATAGATTGCTCTACGAGTTTACACACATTTATTGGAGTGATAAGATCTTAGCTCTGTAAATTGTTACTGACTGTCAATCGAGATAATGTAAAGTTGTCAAATTTAATACATAATTCGGTATTTAATTTTTTTTACATCAAGAAACAATTATGTTGCATGAAAATGAATCTGGTAACCAAGTAAAATTTCTAGAAAAAAAAAACATAAGGCATAGGACCTATAATAAATACATTAGGAGGTCATGTTTGGAAAACCTATTACTTCTGCATCTTATGCAGTTCCTAGCACTCATGCAACATTCGCTAATTTAAAAGAAAACTGTTGCTTTTTGTTTTAGTGCTAAAATTTTAAAAGGCTATTTTACTTTAGACAGGAAAAGGTGGTGGTGGAAACAAACGTATTGTGTAACTGTTGTTGGGTTCGTAAAAATCCGCCAACTACAAATTTACAAATTTATTTATTTAGTCAACATCAAATTTTACCAGTATGAACTTCAGACACTTAAAGATTCTTTTAAAAAGATTTAGTGCTGTTACATTTTCAAGCCAAAGTTCACACCGTAGGCAGTATAAATACTATTGCCCTAGTGTATGAAAATGTATTAAATAATTCATAAAAGGTAAGAAACGTAATATATTCTAGATGCTGTCGCACAAAACGCTTGTGATGCTGCTGGGTGTGGATCCCTCTCTGAACCCAGACGAGCCTCTGCCAGTACATCATCCTCAGGTCACCTTCGCCTACACCAAGCACATGTGGATGGCCGGCCAGAAGGAGAAGGCCTACAAGTATGTTGATCTTTGAAATCATTTGACAGTTCGCTGGCTGAATAAGAGACAGCCAAAAATAGTGAAATTGCTAACAATAATATATTATGTTACTAGTCTGGAAAGTAGGATTGCCAGACGATACCTTTAACATATTTGGACAAAAATTACATTTATTTGCTATTCTACCCCTAATTCCAACAATAAAAAACCTCCTAAATAATTACACACCGACTTAAGGATTTAACTACCACTATGCACAACTTCTCTAAGATGTTATGTTTTTGTTTATTACTACTCAATGCCAATATAATCAGACCCCTATGGTAATCCCACACTCAACTTCATTTAACGACCACACTTGTCCGATGAACACCTATTTTCTGGACTAGGAAGGTAATATACTATTACCAGACACCAGCTGATTATAGATTAAGCAGACGACAAACTGCTGCTTTTTGGAAGTAAATACATGCGTGGAAAGTTAATTAAAACAGTGTAGTGTGGCAAAAGGATATTATAGAAGAGTAGTTGGATGACAGCATTGGTTTCAATCTATATAAATAAAATTAGAGTTTTGTCTGAACATTGCTCAGAATTATGTATTTTTAGGTTATTTTTACGTCTTATACATTAAATAAGCGGAAACGAGTCTTATCTCAATTTCTGTCTGTCTGTCTTTCCCTTTGTCTGTAACACTCAAGATGGCATTTTACGCTATCTTCTCCTGGAAAACGAGAGTACCTATCAAGATCCAAGTAATTTTAATGTATTCACTGGATTGGCGAGATTGTCTTTAGCCATTAAAATATGGCCTCACTACTTTGTAAATAATATTACGAACGTTCAAAAATGTAGTTTTGTGCGATTTATGTCAAGTTTTTGTCCAATTTTTATTGCATAATCATCTATGAAATAACGAACAGCTGTTCGGATTAAGATTATTTTTCCTAGCTGTCACTGATATGTTTACAAATGTTGTTTACAAATACCGCAACCTTTTTCAATCACGTTTTGAATGCAAATCCCAACCAAGTGGGATTAAAAACGTTTTTCTTACATAACGGATTTAATTAATCGAAAGTGCAATAATATAGTTTAATAGTGTAACCGTAAATGAAATTAAATAACTAGGCATCATCCAGTTCAGGAACCAGAGATTCTTTGTGTATAAATTATTGTTCTTGAGTTTTGATAACCAGAAAGACGACATTGAATCAGTGTTGTATACGGCTGGGAAACTTAAATGTAATAATGATTGTCGCCAATAGCTTAGAAACATGATTTCCACTCATTGACGGCACTTCAATGGCGGTTGTGTAAAGTGTAAAGTAAAAATTCACAACTGCAGTGGGTGATTGTAACAGAGGTTTACGGATGATGCTAAACTCGCTTTTCTAATGTGTTATTTTCTGTTCCTACCATTGACTATATATATATATAGTGAATAGTACCTACTCACCGTGTGATGCAATCGCTGGACCATACAGCCAATAGGCCCATAGCCCATCTCTTGGGTACGTACGCCTACTTAATTATTCATAACAACCTTTTCGACGACGATCCTTGATACCGGTACTTTTCCCTAGAATACACGGCCTACCTACTTAAGAAATAAAATTACAAACGTCCAAAAACCCAACGTTGTGTGATTTTTGTCACATTTCCTTCTAATGTTAATAGATAGCCTATACCAATAATTGTTTAGAGAATACGTAATCTATTAAATAACAATTTTTTTTTTTCAAACTGACACCGATAAGTTTACATTAAGAGTTGTTTACAAATAAAGCAATTAATGGGAAATAACTTTGATTGCTGTTTTAAAACGTTTTACGAGAAAATCCAAAACCAAGAGATCAATAAACTCGGGACTTGATTAACTCATATAATTGGTCAGCTGTGCTATAGTTCTCAACTATGAACGTTGGTTTTTGGTACCGGTTCTATTCCTTAGAACCGTTGGTACTGTTGGTAGCAGCAAGAATCATTTTTAAGTACCAACACATCACTGTACTTTACAAATTAGTTATCGTTGGTGTTGCACCTTATTTATTATTACAGGCGTATTCAATTTAATTGATGTCTTAACTGTACAGTTTTTGCTTTTTCTTTCTTGATTCCAAAATGTTTGTTTATGCTAAGAAAACGATAACGCATTTTAGTAAAACATTTATTCAGCAAACCATCATTAATTGTTTAAACGCTTTACGTTGTTTATGTATCAATAGTTCGTGGCCTATTTTGGTATTTTTTTTTTTATAAATTACCAATCTAAATCGTCTATAGTATTCATTTCATATAGTAAGCCGTCATTTCGGGTCATCATCGGTCCAAGCAAATATAAATTGTTAAGATGAAATTTGATGACATTAACAAAGATTTCAGATACTAATTTTATAAGTACTTTGTTATGCTTAAAGCGTAGCAAATTCCCTAATTAAGTTCTGTATTTTTGTGTGTATGTCGGTAACGCATTAATGTCCTTATTTCTCAGTGTTTCACGGAAAGGACAAAAGCACCTTTATAATGAAAATGTCAACCCGAATAAAGTGTTAAATTGTGAGGTTGAGGTAGTACCTTAAATACTTTTAACCATTGTGGAAGGTAACTTTCAATTATAGGCCTACATTAGGGCTATGTCTCATAGATCTATAAAGCATTTTTTAGTTTAATCATTGGATTTAACATATGGACCAACACGACCCAGGTTACATTTAATTTCGAAGCATTTGTTATGGCTTGAAACTGTCAGATACTGTATTTGCGAAGGTTTATATATAATAGTTTTACCAGCATATCTGAAAATATGCAAACCAACTTCTGTTCTTAATAAGAAGGTTTCAACTGACTACAATAAGATCCCCGTGCGTAGAACGGGCACACAGCTAGTAAAGTTATATAAGCCTACCAGTTCACTACAGCATGGTTGACAAAATATGAAACGGTGTTTCAGTTGATCTAAGATATTTTGTGGTTATTGCAGCCAGTTGCATGAGTTTGTCCAAAAGTACTTGGAACTTCCAGTCAAGACGACGTCAGGATCAGCCGATGACGGAAAGCAACTGGAAATGCGACGGAGATTACTTGCCAGGTATGGTATTCAAACTTTTCACTGTATAGTGTATGATCTCTTGTTTTGTCTCAGGATGGAATCATTTAAAAAAGTTATGAAGGTAAAAATTGTAGTTCCAATTCAAATACTTTTTAGATTTCCCCTTGAGTTTGTACCCTCAGGAGTCATGTTGGTTGCTGGGATAAAAAATTCTGCTAATTCTACTTCCATTCCATTTATATTAATTAATACTCTTGTTTAATCCAAGAATAGGGGATGAAGTTTGATGTGGTATTTAAAGCATATCTAAAAAAAATTGTCAACTTGATTGGTTGTAGCTTGCCTGGATATTGTGTTATCGTTCCTCACACTTCCTCTGTGTGCCTATGAGTATGTTTACTTGCCGTAGATGCTACCTCAAGCTAGGCCAATGGCAGGAGAGTCTGCAGGGTCTCAATGAGAAGTCTATCCGCGCCGTGCTGCAGTATTACGAGGCGGCCACGGAGCACGACCCCGACTGGTACAAGGCTTGGCACTCGTGGGCGTACATGAACTTTGAGACGGTTCTCTTCTACAAGTGTCCACCCACTAATCAAGCCCAAGGTGGGGACGCCAGGACAAACGCGGTAAGATTGCCATTATGGTGCCTAATGGTCAATAAAATAACTTTTCTTATATCTGTATGAAATATAATGTCAAAAATAGCACAGTAAAAGCCCGCTAATCTGGCGTCTGATGGTTTGGCAATTTTAATAATCCAGTATTGAGCTATGGGTCTAGAAGAACTTTTTGAATACTGTTTTATGCTATATTGGCGTGTTCGGTGAATTCAGGAGCGGAGTTGTCGTTAAAATAATGTAGCACTCAATACTGTAAAATTGTAGAGCGTTTTATTTTAATATATTTTATTTTTCACATTTTATAGTACGGTCGTACTGCTAAATTAAGAGACATTACAATAAAACAGAGTTAATGAACCTCCGACTCTAAAATTAGAGGTATTTACGCTAGTCTCGCTTTACTGGCTGTCCAGAATGGATTAGCGAAAGGCTACTGTAAAATCTCAGTTTTCCTGTGCTAAACAGCTTGTTTAGCCTCTAAACAACAGTCTTTGTAAAATAATATGCCTAATCAAAAGACCAATTTAAAGCCTATCATATACAATTCAAAATTAAACAGGTGAAATTGTTTTCCCTACAGGTCAACACCCAGTACATCACCCAGTTCACAGTTCCGGCTGTGGAAGGTTTTTTCCGCTCTATCTCTCTGTCTCACGGCAGTTCTCTACAAGACACCTTGCGACTGTTAACCCTCTGGTTTGACTACGGACAGTGGCTGGAGGTGTACGAAGCCATAGTTGAGGGCCTTCGCACTATTGAGATAGACACTTGGCTTCAGGTATGAATAAACAGTCTGTTGGAATTTAGAAGCCTTTGCGTATGAGTCAATTCAATTTATTTATTTACGGCAAAAATCATTATACAACAAATACTTCAAGGTAAATAAACATGTCTCAAGCAGCACATTAAAATGGTTTAATCACAATGCTTTCAAGACAGTAACAGGTACACTAAAACAGGGTGGTAAAACATGTTTTTGTCTCAATAAAGTACAGACAAATAAAACAATAAAACATATGTAGGTAAATAAAACATATGTTTACTGTTTAGTAACACTTAAAAAATATATTTACTCCTATACTGTTAACTCACAAGACGGTATATATATAAACAAGCTGTTATACCCGTGCTTCGCCACAGTGGGATTACGTGAAAGATAATAGTACTGTTCTTTAGATCTGCTGTATGAAATAGTTACATGTCAATTATTTACTTTTGAAGCAAAACACTTATTTTATATCCTAAAAAAGTGAATTTATTTGTAAGAAAGTGCAGTAACATTCATTCCTTTAGACTCTTTTACTGCTCGGCTTTAGCTTATTATATCAATTACAAAGAGAACTATGAGAAAAATTCTACCAAACTTGTACAACCTTTCTTTAATCAAACATAACTCTCTAACCAAATAACTCACACATTTCCACAATGAAAATAAAGGACCACCAAAACCCCATTGAAGTAAAATTTACCCTTTACAAAATGTATGGACAGCACCAGGACACAAACTTAGGACATCACTGCCCAAGATTCCTAGTCTGTCTCGCTACTGACTGGGCAACCATGATTGGAGGTTTTCTGATATAAAGTTAATATGCAACTTGTGTGACTGTACAGGTTATTCCCCAGCTGATAGCCAGGATAGATACTCCGCGTACATTAGTGAGTCGGCTGATCCACCACCTGCTGATGGACATTGGTAAGCACCACCCTCAGGCGCTGGTCTATCCCCTGACTGTGGCGAGCAAGTCAGCTAGCCTGGCCAGGCGCAACGCTGCCAACAAGATACTCAAGAGTATGTGCGAACATAGCCAAGCCCTGGTACAACAGGCTGTTATGGTGAGTACAGTAAAAAGTGAACGCTCAGAATAGTTTTTAAAAATTGTACGGTGACTCAGACGAGGGCGTAGAAGACAATTAGACCAGTTAAGCTTTGGATGTTGCTAAAGCTCTTCCTACCTCAAGTTCCTAGAACTTTAAACACTTAATTTCCTTCCCTGCAATGACTAGATAAAATTGTTTGCATCAATGTTGGCTATGTTTGTTAACACATGGATTTTTAGGTTAGCTAAGAAAGCAAATAGACCAGTAAAGGTAGCTATTTGTGGTTTAGCTGTGGCTAAGGCTTGTCTTATCCCGAATTTCTAGACTTAATGACACTTTATCACTTAATTATCTTCCCTGCATTGACTTAATAAAAATATCAGCACTGATGGTAAGGTATGGTAATTTGATGTGTGATTTATCTTGATAATAACATTTCCTTTAGTTGGTGGCCAAGATTTTTTTCTTTAAAGTTGTAGCTACATTGATATAACTTCTTACAAAAAAAGTGTGAGTTCCATACTGCTGAAATTGAAAGTCATTATAATATTGAAGACCTGCATTAACTTGTGTTGTGTTTTTTATTAACATATGTACAATTGTTACTAATTTATTGGTTATACCATGTAACAATTGAACGAGCTCAGTGCTATCGTTGTGATAAGCTGATCAGAGTAGCCATCTTATGGTAGCTATGGCATGAAGGTCTAGAGGGATGTCAAGGGAATGTTTGACAAATTGTACATTGTGTTGTAGGTTAGTGAGGAGCTGACCGAAGTGGCTATCACGTGGCCCAAGCCATGGCATGTAGTGGCAGAGGAAGTATTCCTGATCCCTTTCCTGTCTACCGTGGAATCCATCAAGGTTCTGTTCTGGGTCCTCTCCTTTTCCTCATCCTCATAAACTACTTTACCTTCTTCCACTTCATGTCTATCCATTATTTTCGCTGATGACACTATCTGGTTGTTAGTGGTGGGAATCTCAACAATGCTAAAAAAAGGATAGAGTTGGGATTTTATGAGGCAGCCAAGTGGTCTTCCACGCAAGTGGGTTATCACTGAATGTTAATAACATCCAAGAAATGTTTTTTTTTCTTGATTAAATATAGATTTAAGTAATGACAGTAGCACTAAGGTAGATTTGCTGGGCTTAACCCTTGACCCTATGTTGCCTTGGGATGATCTTGTCAATAAGGTTTTTAAGAAATTAGCCAGGACCTTCCGTCTACTTAGAAAATTAAAACTAAATTCTGACTGTATGTTAAAGGCGTTTTATTTTGTCATTTTTCAACAGCCACATTGCTAATGGGATATACTGTGGGGCCATTCACATTATGTTAAGAGAGTCCTAATTCAATATTAAAAGCTCTCAGGATTCTAGCTGGCGTAGGTCCCTTGGAGCACTGTAAGTTTTTGTTCAATGAATTCCAGATCCTCACAGTTACAATTTGTATATTCTGAAATGCCTCTGTAGTATTAAGGCAAATATAAGTGGTGAACAAACTGTATGCCCAAGGAATCAATCCATTTTCATGATACTAGAAATATTTCAAATCTAGATGTCCCTAGAAGAAGGGTATCAAAGTCTCTAAACTGCTGCCCAGTAACTGGTTTAAATATGTTTAACAGCCTACCAGCAGCCTGAGAACGCTTTCAGAAAAACCTTTCCAGCAGGGAATCAAGTATTGCTTGTTGAACAACCCTGCTATTCTGTGCAGAAGTTTTAAAACATTGTAAAAGCTTTCATTAACTTGTACTATTGTCTTGGACTAATGTCTGGTTGTGTTTAACTGCCATATAAATGATTTTGATTTCTGTTTTAAAGGTCTAGAGGAAGCCAGCAGACTGTACTTTGGTGAGAGGAACGTTAAGGGAATGTTTGACAAACTGTACATTGTGTTGTGGGTTAGTGACAAGCTGATCAGAGTGGCCATCTTGTGGCACGAGCTGTGGCGTTTAGGTCTAGAGGAGGCCAGCAGACTGTACTTTGGTGAGAGGAATGTCAAGGGAATGTTTGACAAACTGTACATTGTGTTGTAGGTTAGTGACAAGCTAATCAGAGTGGCCATCTTGTGGCACGAGCTGTGGCGTTTAGGTCTAGAGGAGGCCAGCAGACTGTACTTTGGTTAGAGGAATGTCAAGGGAATGTTTGACAAACTGTACATTGTGTTGTAGGTTAGTGACGAGCTGATCAGAGTGGCCATCTTGTGGCATGAGCTGTGGCATGAAGGTCTAGAGGAGGCCAGCAGACTGTACTTTGGTTAGAGGAATGTCAAGGGAATGTTTGACAAACTGTACATTGTGTTGTAGGTTAGTGACGAGCTGATCAGAGTGGCCATCTTGTGGCATGAGCTGTGGCATGAAGGTCTAGAGGAGGCCAGCAGACTGTACTTTGGTGAGAGGAATGTCAAGGGAATGTTTGACAAACTGTACATTGTGTTGTAGGTTAGTGACGAGCTGATCAGAGTGGCCATCTTGTGGCACGAGCTGTGGCATGAAGGTCTAGAGGAGGCCAGCAGACTGTACTTTGGTGAGAGGAATGTCAAGGGAATGTTTGACAAACTGTACATTGTGTTGTAGGTTAGTGACGAGCTGATCAGAGTGGCCATCTTGTGGCACGAGCTGTGGCATGAAGGTCTAGAGGAGGCCAGCAGACTGTACTTTGGTGAGAGGAATGTCAAGGGAATGTTTGACAAACTGTACATTGTGTTGTAGGTTAGTGACGAGCTGATCAGAGTGGCCATCTTGTGGCACGAGCTGTGGCATGAAGGTCTAGAGGAGGCCAGCAGACTGTACTTTGGTGAGAGGAATGTCAAGGGAATGTTTGACACTCTGGAGCCACTTCATGTCATGCTGGATCGTGGACCACAGACTCTGAAAGAAACGTCTTTCAATCAGGTTTGTAATTTGTGTTGGTGTACTGTATTTTATAAAGTTACTAGCTGTACCTGCGGGCTTTGCCCCGTTTAACTTAATAAGTATTTGCATGGCTCAATCACGTCCTGGTTGAAGTTTGTTCGCTACGCTCGCTTGCCTTCAGGCTCAGAAAACATATTACTATAACCCAGAATGCCAACTGCATGGTAAAAAGCATTAAGTGTTTTGAGAAAGCTTTGCCTGTCAATTCGTAGGCAGCGCCACCAGCGTTGCCATGCTGAGTGCTACGCTAACTCGCCTCCAGGTTGAAGTTCGTTCGCTACGCTCACTCACCTTTTGGTTGCAAATTAGCTGTTGTCATAAATTTAAAAAATAACAGTGCTGCAACCTGTTGGTAATCCTTGTAACTTTAATGCTATTGAACATCATAGAATAGAACCAACTTGTTTAATTGAAACAGCTGTTAAGATTCATTAATTCCTTTTAAATATGAAAAATCATAAGGTTAACATTGGAAACTCCAGAGCCACTGGGGCGGAGCCCGAGAGTCCGATCAGAATAAAAACTACTTAGTTTTCCTATTTAATGCCTAAAGAATCAGTGTACCAAATTTCAGCCTCCTAGGTAAATGGGAAGTGGGAGAATTAGTGATGAGTGAGTGAGTGAGTGAGTGAGTGAGTCAGTCAGTCAGTGAGGGCTTTGCCTTATATATATAGATTCTTTTGATTGCGAAGATTGATTTAATTCTTGTTTCTGTGATTATAGTAGTTATGATTCTAAAGTAGTGATCACATAATGTTACATAACATGTAATCGTGGGGTGTAAGAAGGGGTTACAATTAAGTTGAAATCCCAAAACTTAATTTAATCTTTTCCAAAGTTTTGGTGGTTTTGAAATTTGGTTTAGACACATCACTAACACAAAGCAGTGAATGTATCAGTAAATTAATTGAGAATAGATACTGATTTTGTTAAACAATTCTTCATAACTTACACTTCAGGTACCTTTTTTTCACATACCAATATTTAGGTATTGTAACACTGTACAGGCGTACGGCCGAGACCTGATGGAGGCAATGGACTGGTGCAAGCGTTACAAGGTGTCTGGCAATGTGAGAGATCTGAACCAGGCGTGGGACTTGTACTACCACGTGTTTCGCCGCATCTCCCGACAACTGCCACAACTGACCAGTCTGGAGCTACAGTACGTCAGCCCCAAGCTGTTGTTGTGCCGGGACCTGGAGCTGGCAGTGCCGGGCAGCTACATACCCAACCAGCCCATCGTCAGGATAGCTCACATACAGAGCTCACTGCAGGTCATCACCAGCAAGCAGAGGCCTAGGAAACTGTGTATTAGAGGTGGGCATTAGTAGCATCAGTAGCTAACAAAAACTTAAGAGGTACAGTAGAGAGTCAACCATGCAAAACAATCAGGAATTGGAGGTAATCGGTTAATTGATTTTTTTTTTTATAATCAGACAAACTTGAAAAATTAGATACATAACTCAACTGTGATTGACAATTTTAAATTTATTTTTACTTGGATTTTTCTGGTTTTCACCATTTTTATGTAAAAAAATTAAACTCTCATCTTCACTGTCAAGCACACACACTCATTTTGTGTTTGATTTATGGGTTTTTTATGGCTTGAAACTTGATCTTGATCCTTAACGGAGTACGGCCATCCCAATTTGGTTAACTGAAAAGACGAAAGTAACCAAAATCATTTGCCAAACACAAGTCGAGTGAGCAAACACTGTCCTGCTATTGCCTGCCATGCCACTTCTACTCATTTTCTTGAGGGTGTTCGTCAATAACAGTTTGTTCACTATTCTATCAAGTTGTCTGGTTCTTTCCGACAATGTTGTCCAAAACGTAAACGTAAATGACACTTGTAGCAGTTATAAAGGGTGAAGATCAAGTTTAACTCCAATTATCCAAACTCCAACTATCCGGTGAGGATCAAATTGACCTCCAATTATCCAAACTCCAACTATCCAAATCGCAGATTATCCAAATGTTGACTCCATCATCATCTCCCGCGGTCACGGAAAATCATAATTGTACTCCCCAATCACGGCAAAAGCATACATTTTCCTGTCACAAAATTGTCGCAAATGTGTTCTGCAATTGTAAAAGCTTGACATGACTCTGCCTCTTTTCCTTAAAAAACACTGAATTTTTGGTAAAATCCAATTCTCCGAATTTTTGTTTATCCGAATGGGGTACGATCCCAATAGGATGATTTGAGTTCTACTGTACTTCAAAACCTTCACCCTACCCATGTTTTTACCTACTTCCTGGCCTGTAAATTCTGAAGAAGACCACTAGGACAAAACAGTAGTGTAGAATGGTTGGTCATAGTTGTCAAAGATAAGCCAACAAAACAATATCACTTTAAATAACCTCTAATTACCCATATTTTATCCAATTATTTCCTTTTTTCCTAATAAAAAAAATTAAATTGCCCAATATTTTGAAAACAAGTGTTACTTTTCTTGATTTTCAGTGTCTTGTATAAACTGTTCCTGCCAATGTATCTTTGTTTTTTTTACTCTTGATTAAAACGTCTAAATATTGCAGGGAGCAATGGCAACGACTACATGTTCCTGCTGAAAGGACATGAAGACCTTCGCCAGGACGAGAGAGTAATGCAACTGTTTGGACTAGTCAACACTTTGCTGCTAAACGATCCCGACACCTTCAGAAGGAATCTCACCATACAGGTACTTTCCTATATCCTAAAACTTCCAAAAGAAACCTAACTCTATGAGTAATAGGTTTCTTACATATTGATACCCTACATCCCGCAATATCCTTATTTTACTAACAGGTCAATACAAAACTCCTTGAGGGAAATATTTTTAGATTTTTTAAAACAGCAATAGTACATTTTATTTGTCTCAAATTTTCTTTGTTATCACTTATTCATGTGTGGTACAAATTGTTTGTGTTTATAAATTAGATACTTGTTGTTTGATGCAGAGGTATGCGGTCATCCCGTTGTCTACAAACTCAGGTCTGATCGGCTGGGTACCGCACTGTGACACACTACACACTCTTATCCGAGACTACAGAGAGAAGAAGAAAATACTTCTCAACATTGAACATCGTATCATGCTCAGAGTAAGTTGATCCTGGTAACATGAGGTGCATTAAGAGGTATCAAGCCTCTACATTTACCCTCTAGTATATAGAGCAGGCTGGTCTAGCAAAGGGGCTTTGGTCACCAAGATCCTGGGTTCAAATCCCGTCAATCACCAATGACTTAACAATGGGACCATAAAATGCAGCAAGAGCTAGGCTCACACTAAAGAACGCATAAGGGCGACTCCAGCCAGAACCGTCCGCCAGGGGCACTAGTGACAGGAGCCGAAATCAGATGCAACTGAAATTAAGTACATGGGACCGGCACAAAAAGCTGACATAGTTCAGTTGATCTCCGATAAACGCAGAGCTCACAGTAAACAATCTTTATAAATCTGTACTGTGACTTCCATTGGCTTCGCACCCTGTATGGCATGACTCCAATGGGAGTCGTCAGCAACGTGTAACGAGTTATTTTTCCCAGGGGGGTATATTTTCGTTATTTGGGCCGCGCGTCTGTTGAGGTAAGCAAGCGGCGGCGGCGAACCTGGCTAGCGCTCTTTGACCCGGCTTATCAGTTCGGATAAGCTTGGGTATCCCGGGACTACTGGACAGCCGAGAACGGACATTCTAGTGGTGGATCTCGGACAGTCAAGTAGTGAGTGTTGGTGTCCTGTGCCTGTGGAGACGGCTGGCGTACGTTGGTGGTACATCGGAGTGTGGTGATACCGGTGAACAGTGTTGGTGTTAAGTTGGGTACTGACCCACTTGTGGTGAGTGGACGACTTGATATTATTAGTTTGATAATATTAATATCTGGTTTTATTGCGAGAGTTAGAGTTGTAACCGTGCTGGTCAAAGCCTGACGGTAGTTAGGATTTATATTAGTCAGGAATAATATTAAAGTGTATTCCTGACGGTTCTGGGCAGGTGCTAGAGCGCAAATAATATAATTTAATTGACTGTAGTAGATATTATTTTGCGTTGTACCTAGAGTTAGTTATATTACTAATAACTCTGAGGCCCGACAAACCTAGGCTGCACGATTTAGCGTGCGTAGTTGGAAGCACGAGGCCAGTAGGCTAGTAGCTAGTTTTATTAGCCTATTAACAGAAGCCCGGCTAAGCAATATAACGTTGATATAGTAGCAGTAGTGGTAGTAGCAGTAGGGTTGGTATTGATTAATCATTTAATTATTTTAATTTAACCTGAACAGCTTGCTTAGTAATCCAACACGTTAGCTTGGTAGCTTGGATAGCGGAGTACCGGCTATCAGATAATATATTTATCTAGTGTTTGGAACGTATTTAATATTTATTTATCTGCTACTAATTAGCTCAATATTTTAATAGTGCAATTGCCATTTAGTTTTGCTTGTTTGGCTTGGTATTTGTTGAGACCAGCTACTAGTGGTGTAGTCACTCTACCTATAGTGTACTTGTATATTATTATGTGGTACGATTATTGAGTGAACTGTTTGATTCTTAGCTTGGGCATTAGAGTTGTGTATTGGAACGTAGCGTTGGTTTTGGAAACCGCCTACACGCCCAAAAAGAAGGTGGAGAAGCGCGCCGAAACTGCCGCAGTCGAGAAGCGGAGTTTCGAGAGACCATCTCCGGAAGCTGAGTCGCTTGGGCGGGTGGCTTTGAAGTCGGATCGGGTCCACGGTCAACGGCCCGTGACAGCAGCTAGAGTGCCTGAGGGTCCAAAGGGGACGGTGAAATGTTTTAGGTGCCAGGAGATTGGTCACTTTGCCCGAGAATGTGGTAAACCAAGGACCGTCTCCTGTTTTGGGTGTGGCAAACCTGGTTTGACGGTGAGTCAGTGTGGATGTCGGGCGGGAAACGGCAGGCCAGCTCAGACATCAGGAGGTCAACTGGGCAAGGCCACCCAAAACGAACGACCTCAGAAGAGTGGTCCGAGTGGCTCGGAAAACTAAACAGCCTGGTTGGTGGAGTAGACGAGAACCGGCTGATTTCGGAGACAAGGCCCTTTGTTGAAGTTGTGCTGATGGGCAGCGTTTATAAGGCGTTATTGGACACTGGGTCCGTAGTTAACCTGGTTGGGCGAGGAGTCGCCGAACATCTTCAACGCCAGGGGGTAGAGCCTGTTAAGAAACCCGCTCCTCTACGGATGGCAGATGGGTCACGGTCGAGGGCCGAGTATTCATTCCGATTGGCAGGAGAAGCTGCGGGAAGACGGTGGGTTGGAGACGCCTTGTACGTCCCCACTCTCACCACAGATATGATTCTGGGTATGGATGTCATCCGAGACCTCGGATTGGTGACATGTGGGACAGAGGTAGTAAGAATGGGCGTGGGTGATGACTGTTCTGGCCAAGGTGGCCGCATAGACAGTGTCAAAATTGGTGACGAAGACCCCGAAGGCCCTTGCAATGGAAATACCCGTCTGGTTCCTGATGCTAAACCATTCAGCACCTTGTTGGCCGGTTGTGGCGAGTAGAAGAGTTTTTCTTTGTTTTAAGTTTGAGACCTGTGGTGTAGGGTTCACCATTGGGTTAGGGGCTTGGGTATTTTGTTTCGGCCGGAGTTCGAAGATTTTTTTTTCTTTTTGCCGTTTTCTTTTTTTTTCATCCCGATGTAAGTGGGGGATGTAACGAGTTATTTTCCTTGGGGGGTAAATATTTGCCTTTTGGCCGCGCACCGATTGTTGAGGTGAGCGAGCGGCGGCAGCGAGGCAAGTGAGCGCCCTTTGACCCGGCTTATCAGTGCCGATAAGCCTGGGATATCCTAGATTTTCAGGATAGCTAGAACGGACATTCTAGTCGTGGATTCGAGTCGTGGCCTACGGTGATTGAACAGCTGGTTCGTGATTGTCGAGTGAGACGTGTAGTGCTTTGGTGACATCGGTGTGATATTGGTGCTCAAGGCGTGTTGGTGTCAAGTTGGGTAGTAAGTCAGTGACCCACTTGAGGTGAGTGGACGACTTGATATTATTAGTTTGATAATATTAATATCTGATTTATTTGCGAGGGTTAGAGTTGTAACCGTGCTGGTCAAAGCCTGACGGTAGTTAGGATTTATATTAGTCAGGAATAATATTAAAGTGTATTCCTGACGGTTCTGGGCAGGTGCTAGAGCGCAAATAATATAATTTATTGACTGTAGTAGTTATTATTTTGCGTTGTACCAAGAGTTAGTTATATTACTTATAAATCTGAGGCCCGACAAACCTAGGCTGCACGATTTAGCGTGCGTAGTTGGAAACACGTGGCCAGTAGGCTAGTAGCTAATATTATTAGCCTATTAACAGAAGCCCAGCTAAGTAACATAAAGTTGGTAGTAGCAGTAGCAGTAGTAGGGTTGTTATTGTTTATTCATTTGATTATTTTAATTTAACCTGAACAGCTTGTTTGGTAGTCCAACACGTTATCTTGGTAGCTTGGATAGCGGAGTACCGGCTATCAGATAATATGTTTATCTAGTGTTTGGAACGTATTTAATATTTATTTATCTGCTACTAAGTAGCTCAATATTTTAATAGTGCAATTGCCATTTAGTTTTGCTTGTTTGGCTTGGTATTTATTGAGACCAGCTACTAGTGGTGTAGTCACTCTACCTATAGTGTACTTGTATATTATTATGTGGTACGATTATTGAGTGAACTGTTTGATTCTTAGCTTGGGCATTAGAGTTGTGTATTGGATTATAGTGGCCTAGTAGACCCCGCCTGGTGATAACACGCGTTGTGGTTTTTATTGGCAAGTCGTCGTGTAACTCACCGTGTTTTAGGCACTCTGGGCTTAACTATTGGATAGTTAGGACGAAGCCCGAGTTGCGTAGTCAGCAACGACCCCCTAGGAGTGTGGAGAATCGGCGTAGGCCTGCACGTTTGTTTTGGTGACTTGTTTTTTTACTTGTTCACAGTGCCCGTGTATGAGCCAGTCCTATACCGGTTAGACCCGGCTTTTGGCCTAATGGTTTCCCTGACCTTATCGCAGACCCTGGGACTTTACCCAGCCATTGTAGGCTGAGCTATCCCCGGCAAACGGTTGCGACTGACTGCACTTTTAATACTATATTTTCCCAGTGCAGAAAGTAGCGTCGCAAGATGGCGCCTGCGAACAGGGACTGAGGTTGGCAGTGGTGCTGAGTTGCTGACGTATTAACGGCGCCCGAACAAAATAATTTTATTTGTGCAGATTTGCTGCGGACTTGTGCAGATTGGCTGCGGACCTGAGCTGTTGAGCAGAGTTTTAGGCAGACCTGCTGCGATTTTATAGTCGGTTGGGTAGGCCTAACCTGTTTTCTGTTACAGCGTGGTGTGTTGTGAACCCTAATTTATTTAGTGGTTGTATACATAGATATTAGTTAGTAATTTTAATTTTGCTAATTAATTGAGCCTTATCATTGAATATTATTTGAGTGAGAACCCTTATTGTGTATTTGTGGTTTGACTTTCACACCCATGATTGGTTTGATTTATTATTTTGCTAATTAATTGAGCTTTATCATTGAATATTATTTGAGTGAGAACCCTTATTGTGTATTTGTGGTTCGACTTTCACACCTATAATTGGTTTGATTTAATAGTACGGTGTTAAATAGATTTTAATTGGTTACGCCCTTATTTTTGCGGATTTGTCTTGGTGTTTTGAATTTTAAATATGGTTGTGACTACGAGTACGACGTCTGTGCTGGGCGGTACGCCTATTACGTCTGCTATCGTTACGACTAGCTCTGGGGTTAGCTCCGAACTGTCGGTGATAACGACGTCGTCATTGTGGCCTGCGTCTTCGCCTGTTTGGCCGACTATTTCATCGGTCGTGGGTACGACGGTGACAACGTCTCTGACTTATTCCGCGCCAGCGACTATGTCCTTGGGGTCGCAGCCCCGGGACGGTCGCGTGGGTTGGATATATGACCTCTCGAAAGGGGAGCTCATGAGGACGATGGACCAGTATGGTTTGGTGACCACTGGAACTTCTGCGGAATTACGGCAGAGATTCTCGTCGTTTTGGAAGCAGCGGAATGCCCGTCGGTACAGCGATGATAGGCTGTGTACGGCTGGGGCGGCTGCACCGATAGCGCCGGCTACTACAACTATGGAGCTTCCTGACCCCCCGAGAACTGTACCTCAGGTACTGGGTAGTACTGATTTGGGCCAAATAGAGATAGGGGAACTTAGCAGGGAGTTAGAGGCGGTCAAAGAGGTTCTTGGGTTGTCTTTGGAGACTGATACCCGGACTCTTGGAGAACAGCTTGCATTGGTGGTGCGGCAGGCGAGAGGCTTGCCGAGTAATGAGGTCGGCTATGGGTTCAAAAGACCCGCCAACCTTACGTCCCCTGTTGTGGCTGCTCCCATGCCTACCTTTGGGTTACCAAGTAGACCCGAGGGATGGCAGCGACCTAGTGATCATTCGGAGAGACCAGTCCGTCCTTCTAGCTTGGAGGTGCCACGAGGCTCAGATATGCTTTTGAATGAGGCCAGCAGGGTGGAGCTGAAGGATTGCTCCAAGATATGCGACATGGTCCGAAAGTGGGGTTTAAGGTTTGATGGCCGACGAGACGCTGTGTCGTTCCTGGAGCGCCTTGAAGAGCTGATGGTCTCGTACTCTATAACATCAGAGGACCTGCTCAGAGCGCTGCCGGAGCTGTTGCAAGGCTCAGCGCTTCTATGGTACAGGAATTGCAAGGAGCTCCTGTATTCCTTTGAAGCTTTCCGGCGTCAGTTTGAAATCCAGTTCTTCCCACCAGGATATTGGAGGAACTTGGATGAGGAGATCCGGAAAAGGACACAGGGTGAAGGCGAGCACTTCCGGGACTACGTTGTTGCCATAAGTACCTTGCTTAGGCGTAGCGGTACGTTGTCAGAGCATGGTAGATTGGACTTGATCTACAACAACATGCGACCTGAGTACAAACTCATGGTACGCCGGCGTGACTTCAGGAACCTGGCCGAGATGGTTGAGTTGGCCGAAGATTATGAGGCTTATATGCGCGAGAAGGCAGCCTTCCGACCTCCTCCTTCTCCGAACGTAGCGTTGGTTTTGGAAACCGCCTACACGCCCAAAAAGAAGGTGGAGAAGCGCGCCAAAACAGCCGCAGTCGAGAAGCGGAGTTTCGAGAGACCATCTCCGGAAGCTGAGTCGCTTGGGCGGGTGGCTTCGAAGTCGGATCGGGTCCACGGTCAACGGCCCGTGACAGCAGCTAGAGTGCCTGAGGGTCCAAAGGGGACGGTGAAATGTTTTAGGTGCCAGGAGATTGGTCACTTTGCCCGAGAATGTGGTAAACCAAGGACCGTCTCCTGTTTTGGGTGTGGCAAACCTGGTTTGACGGTGAGTCAGTGTGGATGTCGGGCGGGAAACGGCAGGCCAGCTCAGACATCAGGAGGTCAACTGGGCAAGGCCACCCAAAACGAACGACCTCAGAAGAGTGGTCCGAGTGGCTCGGAAAACTAAACAGCCTGGTTGGTGGAGTAGACGAGAACCGGCTGATTTCGGAGACAAGGCCCTTTGTTGAAGTTGTGCTGATGGGCAGCGTTTATAAGGCGTTATTGGACACTGGGTCCGTAGTGGGTTGGAGACGCCTTGTACGTCCCCACTCTCACCACAGATATGATTCTGGGTATGGATGTCATCCGAGACCTCGGATTGGTGACATGTGGGACAGAGGTAGTAAGAATGGGCGTGGGTGATGACTGTTCTGGCCAAGGTGGCCGCATAGACAGTGTCAAAATTGGTGACGAAGACCCCGAAGGCCCTTGCAATGGAAATACCCGTCTGGTTCCTGATGCTAAACCATTCAGCACCTTGTTGGCCGGTTGTGGCGAGTAGAAGAGTTTTTCTTTGTTTTAAGTTTGAGACCTGTGGTGTAGGGTTCACCATTGGGTTAGGGGCTTGGGTATTTTGTTTCGGCCGGAGTTCGAAGATTTTTTTTTCTTTTTGCCGTTTTCTTTTTTTTTCATCCCGATGTAAGTGGGGGATGTAACGAGTTATTTTCCTTGGGGGGTAAATATTTGCCTTTTGGCCGCGCACCGATTGTTGAGGTGAGCGAGCGGCGGCAGCGAGGCAAGTGAGCGCCCTTTGACCCGGCTTATCAGTGCCGTTAAGCCTGGGATATCCTAGATTTTCAGGATAGCTAGAACGGACATTCTAGTCGTGGATTCGAGTCGTGGCCTACGGTGATTGAACAGCTGGTTCGTGATTGTCGAGTGAGACGTGTAGTGCTTTGGTGACATCGGTGTGATATTGGTGCTCAAGGCGTGTTGGTGTCAAGTTGGGTAGTAAGTCAGTGACCCACTTGAGGTGAGTGGACGACTTGATATTATTAGTTTGATAATATTAATATCTGATTTATTTGCGAGGGTTAGAGTTGTAACCGTGCTGGTCAAAGCCTGACGGTAGTTAGGATTTATATTAGTCAGGAATAATATTAAAGTGTATTCCTGACGGTTCTGGGCAGGTGCTAGAGCGCAAATAATATAATTTATTGACTGTAGTAGTTATTATTTTGCGTTGTACCAAGAGTTAGTTATATTACTTATAAATCTGAGGCCCGACAAACCTAGGCTGCACGATTTAGCGTGCGTAGTTGGAAACACGTGGCCAGTAGGCTAGTAGCTAATATTATTAGCCTATTAACAGAAGCCCAGCTAAGTAACATAAAGTTGGTAGTAGCAGTAGCAGTAGTAGGGTTGTTATTGTTTATTCATTTGATTATTTTAATTTAACCTGAACAGCTTGTTTGGTAGTCCAACACGTTATCTTGGTAGCTTGGATAGCGGAGTACCGGCTATCAGATAATATGTTTATCTAGTGTTTGGAACGTATTTAATATTTATTTATCTGCTACTAAGTAGCTCAATATTTTAATAGTGCAATTGCCATTTAGTTTTGCTTGTTTGGCTTGGTATTTATTGAGACCAGCTACTAGTGGTGTAGTCACTCTACCTATAGTGTACTTGTATATTATTATGTGGTACGATTATTGAGTGAACTGTTTGATTCTTAGCTTGGGCATTAGAGTTGTGTATTGGATTATAGTGGCCTAGTAGACCCCGCCTGGTGATAACACGCGTTGTGGTTTTTATTGGCAAGTCGTCGTGTAACTCACCGTGTTTTAGGCACTCTGGGCTTAACTATTGGATAGTTAGGACGAAGCCCGAGTTGCGTAGTCAGCAACGACCCCCTAGGAGTGTGGAGAATCGGCGTAGGCCTGGTAGTGATTATTGCACGTTTGTTTTGGTGACTTGTTTTTTACTTGTTCACAGTGCCCGTGTATGAGCCAGTCCTATACCGGTTAGACCCGGCTTTTGGCCTAGTGGTTTCCCTGACCTTATCGCAGACCCTGGAACTTTACCCAGCCATTGTAGGCTGAGCTATCCCCGGCAAACGGTTGCGACTGGCTGCACTTTTAATATTATTTTTCCAGTGCAGAAAATCTCGTCGCAAGATGGCACTTTCCACGTGCGTGATTTATGGTGGTCCCTGTTCGGGCGCCATCTTGCGACGAGATTTTCTGCACTGGAAAAAAATAATAAAAGTGCAGCAGTCGCAACCGTTTGCCGGGGTAGCTCAGCCTACAATGGCTGGGTAAAGTTCCAGGGTCTGCGATAAGGTCAGGGAAACCACTAGGCCAAAAGCCAGGTCTAACCGGTATAGGACTGGCTCATACACGGGCACTGTGAACAAGTCACGAAAACAAACGTGCAATAATCACTACCAGGCCTACGCCGATTCTCCACACTCCTAGGGGGTCGTTGCTGACTACGCAACTCGGGCTTCGTCCTAACTATCCAATAGTTAAGCCCAGAGTGCCTGAAACACGGTGAGTTACACGACGACTTGCCAATAAAAACCACAACGCGTGTTATCACCAGGCGGGATCTACTAGGCCACTATAATCCAATACACAACTCTAATGCCCAAGCTAAGAATCAAACAGTTCACTCAATAATCGTACCACATAATAATATACAAGTACACTATAGGTAGAGTGACTACACCACTAGTAGCTGGTCTCAATAAATACCAAGCCAAACAAGCAAAACTAAATGGCAATTGCACTATTAAAATATTGAGCTAATTAGTAGCAGATAAATAAATATTAAATACGTTCCAAACACTAGATAAATATATTATCTGATAGCCGGTACTCCGCTATCCAAGCTACCAAGCTAACGTGTTGGATTACTAAGCAAGCTGTTCAGGTTAAATTAAAATAATTAAATGATTAATCAATACCAACCCTACTGCTACTACCACTACTGCTACTATATCAACGTTATATTGCTTAGCCGGGCTTCTGTTAATAGGCTAATAAAACTAGCTACTAGCCTACTGGCCTCGTGCTTCCAACTACGCACGCTAAATCGTGCAGCCTAGGTTTGTCGGGCCTCAGAGTTATTAGTAATATAACTAACTCTAGGTACAACGCAAAATAATATCTACTACAGTCAATTAAATTATATTATTTGCGCTCTAGCACCTGCCCAGAACCGTCAGGAATACACTTTAATATTATTCCTGACTAATATAAATCCTAACTACCGTCAGGCTTTGACCAGCACGGTTACAACTCTAACTCTCGCAATAAAACCAGATATTAATATTATCAAACTAATAATATCAAGTCGTCCACTCACCACAAGTGGGTCAGTACCCAACTTAACACCAACACTGTTCACCGGTATCACCACACTCCGATGTACCACCAACGTACGCCAGCCGTCTCCACAGGCACAGGACACCAACACTCACTACTTGACTGTCCGAGATCCACCACTAGAATGTCCGTTCTCGGCTGTCCAGTAGTCCCGGGATACCCAAGCTTATCCGAACTGATAAGCCGGGTCAAAGAGCGCTAGCCAGGTTCGCCGCCGCCGCTTGCTTACCTCAACAGACGCGCGGCCCAAATAACGAAAATATACCCCCCTGGGAAAAATAACTCGTTACAAACGAATGCGTTAAATAATTTTAACTTTGCTTGTTGACAAGTTATAATGATGATTGCTTGTTGTCCAACAGATGGCCCCGGATTACGACCACCTGACACTGATGCAGAAGGTGGAGGTGTTTGAGCACGCCCTGGAGCACACGCAGGGTGACGACCTTGCTCGACTGTTGTGGCTCAAGTCGCCCAGCTCCGAGGTGTGGTTCGACCGCAGGACCAACTACACTCGCTCCCTGGCCGTCATGTCCATGGTGGGCTACATACTGGGACTCGGCGACAGGTAATGTCATCACTCGGACGAAGACAGAAAGTAGAGTTTTAAAATAATTCACCACCACAATGATAGTTTTGGACACGGCTTGTACTATTTCTTGGAATTCATGAGGTTAAGGTGATAATGAGGTACAAATAACTTAAAAAGCAAGCCTGAGAGGGACCAACTTGACCAAGCCTGAAGAGTGTATTAAACCATTCACTATTGGTTCCTGAAGTAGGCATCCCATCTATATGGACCAGGTTGTACCAATTTGTTATTAAAAAAGAACCACAAAATGTACCAGTGTCTAAAATTATGTTTCTACCTTATTTTTTTTGGTAAAAAAGCCTGTGTGTTCGACAGAAATTACTAATTTACTTCAGCACAATCTGTTGGTGTCTCGCATCAACTACGACAATTTTGATTCAAAACTGGTGACAACTTTAACTTAAAGTTGGAATGTCTAAAAAGTAAAACTCTAAACTGTTCCTGGTTAGTGTCCTAGAAGACGAGGAAATTTCCATATTACTCTTATTTTTGTGTAACTCGTTTTAAATGGTTTTTTGGTGTATTCAATCTTGTCAATAAAACTTAACTTCCTCAAGTGAAGTAATGAGAAGTTAACGTTAATTTTTATAGCTATGTTTTAAAGTTTCATCATTTCAGCTGTTTATGTGTAATCTATGCACATCACATATTTGAAAGTAAATGTTGGATCAAGTCAAATACTTGAGCTGAAAATAATGTTGAAGGCGAACAGAAATAGTTCAATCTACAAAGAGGTGTTTAAACATTATTCTATATTAATAACATTGAGAAGCAACCATGCATAGTACAACTGGTAACTTGTTAATGGGATGATTAGGCGTTGTTAACAGATTCGCTGCGGCTACGTGATGGCCGGACTAATGCACTGTGTGAATGAGTGCGTGAAAATGTTTGAATTTAGTTTCATCCAATAGGAGAGGCATATACTGCGTCCCAGTCGTTGTGGACGTAGTTTTACAAAAACCCAATAGATAGCAGCACTTAAGGTTACCCGGATGTACCCGGAAACACCATCAAAACATAATGCAAAAAAGGATCAAGCTAAATTTTGAATTTAGGTTCCTTCCACAATGATACAGTACATTCAGTATCGTTATTCTGATCCATATCATCAAATGTGTAACATGCTACAACAGACACAAAGATGAACAACGTCAACAAACGCGAAAATGAAGCCCTGTATATTAATATTGGCGGTAACCTTGACCAACACAAAATTAAAAACCCAATAACCTAACATGCACGCTAAGACACAATATGCGTTTCCTTCTCAATATACAGACGAAATATAATCGCATTACAATGTCCATGGCAAATGTCTCCGATCGGGAACATGCCGCAGTAAACGTGTTAATCAATAGTCAGGTAATAATAATAATAATAATAATATCTTTATTGCCGTGAAACAAATATAAAATTGCATGGCATCCGTTAACATTTAATACAGGCATAACAAGCGACAGCAAAACAAATAAATACAACAGCATAAAACAATTAATAATACGAATTTTTAAAAAATTACACAGAACTTGTCATTTGATTGATTTAGAACCTCAGAGCAGCCGAACACCATCTACTCATTTGTGTCAAAAAACTCACCCACAGTGTAATATTCTTTATTAATCAGATATCTTTTTAAAATCCGTTTGAACCGTTTTTTGTTCCTTTCTTTCCTTATTTGTTCAGGAAGACTATTCAAAAATCTCACCCCCGTCTGAGAGGGCAAGCTTGAGGCTGCACGGGACCTGTTTTGGGCCAACCTATATTGTTCTCTGCCTCTAGTTGAATACGAGTGAATGTCCTGGCCTTGTGTTAGGCTGCATTTAAATTTGGAAAACGTTTATCAAGGTTGTTGGGTTGTTCTTAAGCAGTACCAACAGGTTTACCTGTATCTCGTAGAAGGATTGATATTGATAATTTGAATTGTTTATGATATGACCATGACTTATGCCTATTAAAAATATGTTGTGACTGGTTTCAAAATGATTTTTTCAGGCATCCTTCCAACCTCATGCTAGACAGACTGAGTGGAAAGATCCTCCATATTGATTTTGGTGACTGTTTCGAAGTTGCCATGACTAGAGAAAAGTTCCCTGAGAAGATACCTTTCCGCCTCACTAGGATGCTGATCAATGCAATGGAGGTCAGAAGCTCTATCTATTTTCATAATACCATTGACATAGGTTAGTTTTAGCAAATTTATATCCATGAATCCAGATGGTAATGCAGCTAGCCTAGTGGTTTGCGTCTCGGACTTTGGTGCAAAAGAGACGGGTTCAATCCATGGCGTATCCACAAACATTTTCATGATTTTAACAACTCTCCCTTCAAGTTTTTGATTATTGTCCTCATTTGAAAAATTTCACTGGTGTTGAAGCTAAAAACTATGTAGGAAACACAAAAAGAAAACCCAGGATAGTTAGGTTGTGGTCTTGGGTTTATTTAAGTATACCATTTTATGTGTTGCAGGTGACTGGCATCGAGGGTACGTACCGCCGCACCTGCGAGAGCGTCATGTCAGTGCTGCATAGGAACAAGGACAGTTTGATGGCAGTGTTGGAGGCGTTTGTTTACGACCCGTTGCTCAACTGGAGACTCATGGACCAGGGCGGAGCTGCAGTGAAGGCCAAGCGAACAAAGTCCCAGCCGGAGTCCAGCATCCCGTCATCCTCGTCGCAGGCAGACCACGGTGATATCCTGGACAGTGTTGCCAACAGTCTCAGTGCCAACGTTGGGAAGAAGCCAGCTGGTCCCAGCAGCACGGAGAACACAGGTGTGTCTTACGTCTATTCTCAACAAACTTTTCCTACCTGCACCTGTTGTCATAAACTACAGTATGAAACTGTGAAATAGAAGTCTCATTATGATTGCCAGTTTGTTGCTACAATAAATGAGATACAGTAAAAGTCCGCTATAGTTCGGCCGCTTAGAAAGCGACCTCCTCCAGCATTGGTTTAGCATTAGCGCGCAGGTCGTTTTCTAAGCGGCCGAACTATAATCTGTCATCTAGTGGTCTAGAACTTTCATTAATGGCTTTAGTCTTAAGGTTTAAAAATACTTTTTTTAATTCTAAGCCATATTAGCACTTTATGCAGAAACGGGAGCTATCGGTAGACATTTGGAATGACTGGTAGATGTCATAAGAAACCGGTAGACGTTGATTGCGCTCAATAAAATTCAGACGCACTTTATTGTTAAATTATTATTTTTTTTAATTCTTATTATTGTATATCACTTCTGTTCAATAAGAGAGAGTTCAATAAAACTTGGCCTGCTGACCACTGATTTTATTTTTACTCCTTAAAATTAAAGGGATTTTTGCTACTCTTGTAATAACAGCTGTTTTTAGAAGATTTTCAATCACCAGGAAATTTCAGTTATCCAGCATTTTCGATAATATGGTACTGCCAACGGCCCGGATTACCGAGGCGTAAGTTTTGACAGCAGCGTGTTCTGCTTATTATTAATTTTCTCATATTCCCTTATGACTTGATAGAAACTTACACCAACTGGCATATATAATTGAAATTGTTCTTCTTTTTTTATAAACAATTGGGTCACTTGTGCAAAATCTAGACAACCTTTGCAATATAATTGATGTAGCCACCTGCAGTCGTAACTTTGACCATCTTCTCTAGGTGACAACAGCCAACCTGAAGCGATGAACGCAAAAGCGGTAAATATCATCTGTAGAGTGAAGGATAAACTGACTGGTCGAGATTTTTCACAAGAAGAAGAACTGACTGTGGAGAGACAAGTGCAGCTGCTTATTCTCCAGGCAACAGCAAACGAGAATCTGTGCCAGTGTTATATCGGATGGTAAGTGTAGTTAGTGTTATATTATATAAGTTTAGCAACGATCTATTTTAGTTTTGATCAAGGAAAGGCTCTAGGCCAGGATTTTAAATTGTAGAAAATAGGGAGATATCAGCTAGCCTACCTTAGAAGAAATACAGGTAAGCCTTAGAACACTAACAAGACACATAAAACAAACAATATTTCATCCTCAGGTGGGGCTTTGTCAAGTGTAAGGAAAAAGAGTTCACAAAATCTTCACATAACACAAAATATCTTAGATTTTTAAAACTTTCTTTCTCTACACTTGACAAAGGCCTCTTAATGACAAAATATTAAATGTTTATGAGTCTTCTTTGATTTCTATGGCCTACAAGTAAATTTATTTCTTCTAAGGTAAGCTAGCTGATATCCCCCTTTATTCTACAATTAAAAAACTATTTATATTTCTATACTATAATATGAGTAACGTTTGCGCACAATGATTTCGAAAACGGCTCCTATGATTTTCTCCAAATTGTTAGAAATATCTTAGTTTCAGGCTAAAAATTATGTCCATGCTAGGTTCTGTTCTGAGAAAATTTGTTTTTCGTTAAAAACCTAAAATTAAATTTTAATATTTTTAACATTAGTCTTATGGACTACAAGTAGCTATGGCAGTTTTACTCAAATGAATTGTAACATATGCTTTAGGGATGGTCAAGTCTCGAAATTTCGGGAAATTTTCAATCTCGTTACACGAGACGAGATTACTTTTTGGCCGAGATTTTTATCGAGACGAGAATAAACAAAAAAAAAAAAAAAATTAAAAACGCCTGCAGAAAGTCAATGCAATACCCGCAATACAGGAGCGTGTTGTAGTTGCGTTTCCTTTTCGAAGGCGTTCTTATTTAATTAATTCTTTTAATGTAAATATTACTTTAATTCTTTTAATGTAAATATTACTTTCATTATTTTAATAATATTACTTTAATAACATTTGAGAAGTTTTGTTAAGTGTAAGCAGTGTGAGGAATGTTTTATTACTATAAAAAAAGTCAAAACAAGTAACTATTTTATAAAAATTAATATTGCTTTTATTTTATGATTTATTTTATTTTAGGATAAGTTGAACTCTATCCTAACTGATATCACCATGTTTCCTAATCGTAGGCATTTTTAATAAGTTAGGCGTGATTAATAAAAAAAATGTTATGCTGATGTTATTTAATGAAAGATTGTAAATAATCTTGCCTATTATCATTATTTTAGTATTTAAACAGTCATCTAACAATGTTACAAAATCAGGTAAAAATTTCGAACGTGCATTTCCCGTTGTGTATGAGAAGAGAAATCTCGTCTCGAAATTTTATGAGAAATAAAAAATCTCGTCTCGTCTCGTCTCGAACTAAAAATCCAATCTCGTCCATCCCTAATATGCTTGTAAACAAATCATTTACAGTACAGTAGCAAATTACAAAATACTGTACAAAGGAAAAGGACATTCCTATGAATGCTATTGAGCATTGATTATATAATCCTTTTTAACCGACTTCCCCACTACCAACAAAAGGAGGAGGTTCTCAATTTGTTTGTGGCGATGTTTTTTTTTTTTATGTATGTTCACCAATTTCTCTGTGATTCTTTTACCAGTTAGTGTGGTTCCACCACCAAAATAACCAGGAGAGTTTCTATTTGGTACCTTATATATTATGTTTAAGTATAATATTTGTTTCAGTGAAAAATTCTGAAAACCTTAAATATTCAACATTTATTTTGTTTACATTTGTGCAGATTGTTTACATTTGTGCAGAGAAGGCAATAAATAATAATAACATTCCTACAGCTGTTAGTTGAAACCATTTAAATGAAGCTACAGACAATTCTTCATGAAACAGTTGCTTCATATTGATCAATAAACTATTTCTTGCCATGGAGCCTAAATGAATTACATTGAGAAAAATGCATTTTGTTTTGGTTACTATAAAAAATGTATTTTAACGTTTGATTTGTGGTTACAGTAATTCTGTTTTTATTATTGAATATTCTGACTTACAAAAACATATATGTTTCAGTGAATAGCTGTATGATTTTGAAAAATAAAGGTGTATTGTGAAAACCAAAGCATTCGTAAAGCAGGTCTAAATATAAATTAAATGCAATTATTCCTTCCACGACCTAAGAAGTGTGACAGTGCATAATCGTCAATTGTAAAATTGTTAAATATTTTAATTACTAAACATGCATTTGCAGATGTGGAATGTTTATTGATATTCTCTACCCAGTTGTGGCCTTGCTATATCATAGCAATACTATTATGCCTGCTTCGGAAAGTCCTAGAGGAAGATGATTTGCAATTTCGACTAGGCTATATCTTGATCAAACAAAACCACCTACATGGCTTGCACCACTTTTAGCTGAACCAATCTTTCATATACATATTTCATTTGCAGATGTGGAATGTTTATTAATATTCTCTACCCAGTTACTATAACATATCCATACTATTATGCCTGCTTCGGAAAGTCCTAGAGGAAGATGATTTGCAATTTCGACTAGGCTATATCTTGAGCAAACAAAACCCCCTACATGACTTACACCACTTTTAGCTGAACCAAACTTTCATATAATATTTTCCAAAGGTACTATACGTGTTAACGACCAATTTTCCACTTTTGAGAGATTTTTTAGTGCTGGTGGCTGAGGAATAACTTTCATATATTGTTCCAAAAGGCTTGAGACGTTACTGTATTTCTTTTTATAATGTAGAAGTACACCGATTGCAGGAAACGATGATGTCTGACATTTCAATGTATCTAGAAAAGACAATTAGTTTTTCATTAGGCCTAATGTAATGGACAACTCTTTCTTTCTTAAGGAATATCTAAAAATGTTTATTTTCATACCCATTGATTATGTAACCTGAACAGGTGACTCAAGCAGTTTTAAAATAATGATTGTTCTGTGGAACTTTTGATTGTTTCAAACAGTTTTGCTTATCAAAAAACCTCAAGTAATTAATATATAAAAAATTATACAGTCACTAAAAATCATAAAATAATTTATTTTTGTAAAAAATACAACCGACTTCAAAACGCTCTAAAAAGAATGAAATAATTTTATTAAAGTAAACTTTTGTATTAGGCAAGCTCACGTATTTCAAGTCGGCGCGGCTCAAACTGCAAATATGATTGAAATTAAATATTGTGTGTGTATTTTGAAAATCAATAAATTTGTAGCTGGATAACATAAATATATAAAAAAACATACTGAACTGTTTTGTTTATATATTAAAGGAAATATTTTCTTGTATTTTATGTTTACTTCAGAATAAATGCATTATGAAAATAACACACACAAATGTTCTATACTAGGAGGATAAAACATTAAGGAGAGGACACGCTGTAGTTTCGTTGAAGCCAGCGTACTGGTTGGGTGGGGGGGAGGCAGCGCTACTCTCCCGCCCCCCCTCTCATACTGCGTTGTATGCGTTACTGGAAGATTTGGCAACAGAAATATCAATTATCTATTTAAAAATTAGACTTAATCATGCTACGAAAATTAAAAATTTAAATTCTAACCGTAATATTAGGAACCTATTAAGAGGAAAGTCGTATTTATGAACCAATAGTATGTTCAAAGGTGAGTTATTTACACAAGGATGACTTGTTTTTTAGAATTCGTTGTCCTTGTTTTTATTTTTTGTCATACTTATATTGTGTATTATTTATAATACTCTAACCAGAGCGCGGGACTCCGGTCCCTGGGGTCCCGGGTTCAAATCCCGCCATACCACCAATGGCTTTTACTGTTCATAAATTAAAACTCAAATCATGAGTAGTACTGTATGTGTATTTGAACATTTTCTCAAAGAGAAATAAAATAAGTTTTAATCCTTTAAAAGAATGATAAACGCACTTTGGCGGTCAGAAGACGCGATGATTGCTGAACATTTACACTTTTTACTTGAAGTTTCTTTGGGCAAACAGATAAAATATAGTTCAATATGATATTAAAAAATCAAGAACTTGATTGCCAAGAAATTGTTTTAATTTTTATGTTTGTAATTTAATTGTAACAGCTGTTGGTGTAAAAAAAGTTAGAGCGGCTTTGCATTTTTTCTTAACTTTGGCTATTTAAAATCACCTGCCTAGCACATAAATGCCTTAAAACTAGTAAAAAATAATATTAACAAATCGAGAAAACTATGAAAAATGAAAATTTAAAATGTATTTCACCGCCCGAATTAAATTTTTCATTTTAACCAATGATTAGTATGATTGTTTTATAAACTGAAAAAATAAAAAAAAACTTTATAGTAATTATTTTTCTAAATACCACTTTTAAATATAGGTAAATATATATTTTTTATTTCGAGAAACTATTAAGGAACACGAATAAATTGTTAGTTTGTGTAGATACATCATATTTTTTTCAAAAACGTAATTAAAGTAATCATATGTTCAGTCCAAGCCAATTCTTTCAACTTTGATCTTCAATAATAAATAATAAATAATAGTTTTTATAGGAATTATTGACACCGTTCGATAGGAAATTTAATTTACTTTAAGAATGCCATCGGTAAATAACACAGGTGTTTTAGTTTAGAGGCAATTTTAATTCGAAACAGCGCACGTCGCGTTTTTCCCTATCTCTCCCATGTTATAGCCGAGGCTTTTTGCCACTCTACGGCTCCGCGTGCCCCTCTAGTGTTCTGCTAAAGCTGGCTTCACCGCAACATGTGTATTCCTATTCGCGTGCCCTCTCCTTAATGTTTAATCCTCCTAGGTTCTATATGAATAGGAAAATAATTTAGTTTGATATTATGAGAGGGAAAAAAAGCTAGTTTAGTATTAAAACGTTACTTTTCCAAGTTAGAAACATTTAAATGCGTTATAATCTTTTTAAAGATACTCGTTAATACCACTATAATGCCGATCTCTGATTACGGTAATAAAATAACACTTAAGGCATAACTATGAAAAAGACATGCAGATTAACACCTTTTGATATAGATAGTCACCTGCAATATGGACACCCTCTTTCAATTTTGTATCAAAAATCATCATAGAGCCGCGCCGACTTAAAATACGTGAGCTTGCCTAATACAAAAGTTTACTTTATTGAAATTATTTCATTCTTTTTAGAGCGTTTGAAGTCGGTTGTATTTTTTACAAACGAGAAAATTTGTTTTTCGTTAAAAACCTAAAATGAAATTTTAATATTTTTAACATTAGTCTTATGGACTGCAAGTAGCTCTGGCAGTTTTACTAAAATGAATTGTAACATATGCTTGTAAACAAATCATTTACAGTACAGTAGCAAATTACAAAATACTGTACAAAGGAAAAGGACATTCCTATGAATGCTATTGAGCATTGATTATATAATCCTTTTGGAGTGTATGATGTACTAACCAAAGGGATAATTACGACTGTTCAATAACGTAGTCAATTACCGGATAACAATATACACTAATATTGAACTAAAAGTCTAGAGGAAAGGCCAAGGACATTTTGTACTTTTCGACGATGCGTTGCCGTAATTGATGCATTGTTTCACGATCTCGTAATTAGTTGCGTTGTTCCACAATCCTGTAATTAGTTGTGATGTTCCGCAATCCCAGTGACTAACGCAATAACGGTCAACATATTTATGTACTATGAGTTTTTATATTGAAGTTTATTGTAGAAATTATCAATATCGATTGCTCCTCCACATGAAAAAGTCATTAGGAAAATTAAGAATGAATGAATGTCTACCGAAAACGAATTGACTTTACAACTTAATTAATCGTAGCAAAACTGAAAATTTGTAGGCTTATAGGTTTTGTTTTTTAACCTCTTGAACAAATCAAACACCTCATGTAATGTTCGGTCCCCCTGGTACTTCTATTTGATATATTCAAGGTCTTTGAGCTAACAGAGTCAAAATTCATCAAACACTCCTACCAATGTTCATTTGATAGTAGCGCCATCTTAATGTTGACTTGACTTTCGCACATTTGACGTATCAATGACACAGTTCATTGAAAAGATCAACTGTGCGGAAGTCGAGTCATCTTGTAATAGATGGCATTCTAAATTAAGGCTGAAACATTCGTGAATAGAAGTTTCTTTCCTATTGTGATACAGTTTTATTTGTAATTGTAAATTATATGGAAACTTGAATACTACTCCATTTACAGCATGACATAATAAACCATGTTTTTAAATATTGTTACACAACAAAAACTTTTTCTGTTTCAGGTGTCCATTTTGGTAAATTGATGCGGAAAATGTGAAACTCTCTTTAGGATAGTGGTTATTGATACATATTAGTGTAAAAAGTAATTTTAGTTTTAGTCACTATCATAGCTAGAATTCTATAAGGAAAAATCAAATTTAGATCATGTTGAAAGATTATTACACTAGTTTTTAATTTGTTTAGTTTCAGTTATTAAAGTACACCTTGGTGAGTTTAAGTTGACTTCGGGTCCTCTTAAAGGATTTGTAGAGAGAATATTTTTGATCATCAGTAAGTGAGACTGTTTGTTAAGTTAGTTGTACAGCTGACTCATATTGTCTGAGGGTTATCTTTTGATTATTTTTTTTCCGCTTTTATTGTTATAATAATTATAGTATAGTTTTTTTAGATACATTTGTTAGTTTTGTTGTTAGTTGTTACTTTTATTGTGGATTTACATTATTCCATAATTTGCTAGAGTCTTAATTTATCTTAAGCCACAAATGTGAAGGATTTAATTTAAAAGAAACATATTATGTCAGCTATGTATTTTTTTACATGCAAAAACTGTTTATTCCTAAAAGTAATGCCATATTAGTTTCCAAGTGTTGTTATTTGCATTTTAATTAGTTTAGCTAAGTTTGCTTTGAAAATAATTTGCATTAGTAACATAAAAAAATATTAAATTTGTTCTAATTTAGACAGTGAGTGAGGAAACTTTATTTAATGTTAATGTGTTTATAGAGGGTGGGGCAATGAGAACCATACAATTTATTTTAGCTACCAGCTGATAAATATTGCAACAATGAGTGAACAGCTGTGCTCATAAACAAAATTGAACGATACCATTTTAGTAAACATGGCGTTTTGGAATCCTGAACACCGTGTTTTTGATGTGGAAACTTTTTTTAAGAATAATTATTTTTTTATAAAAACACAGAATGTTTAGGAACTATTTCAATATTGATCGAAACAGGGCTGCTCCGAGTCGGTTAACGATAGAGACCTGGGTATCACTATTTAGAAGAATGGCATAATCCCAAAAAAATATTGGTGTAAGCTATAACACTGTTAGCACATCAGCCAATGTGGAGAGAGTACGAGCCGCAGTCACTCAAAGTCCAAAGTGGTCCATCAGTAAGTAATCCTTGATACTTCAAATTTCTAGGAGATCACTTGGAAGGATCTTGCATCAATATATCCATTTCCACCTCTACAAGATGCAAGATGCCTGCTCGAACTCAGGCAGATAATCACCAAAGGGGTTCAAGCGATTTCTCAAAAAAATGCTTGAAAGCGTATTCGACAGGTTTTTACTCAAAGAATGTCAACATTTTCAAGGATGGCATTTGAAGGAAGTTGTTTTGAATATATGAAATAATGGTTTGTCCAGAACAAAATGGTATAAGACTACCTTTTTTGATGTTTTTTTGTATATCTGTAATATAAAAATTATAGGTTTTGTGTTGTTTATAAATTGTATAGTTCTCATTGCCCCACCCTGTATAATGTCTTAATCTAGTTTTATTACAAAGTAATCGTTTTGACCATCATTGTTCCATCAACAAAATGAATATGTTTATGTTTAAGATTATTTGTAAATATATTATTAATGTATGTAAAATATAAATTATATTGTTATTTCTCATTATGCCCTAATAATTATTTTTAACCCCTTCCAGTGTACACTTAAGACAGATTTTTTTATTATTAATCAGTCCCCAAGAAGTTAGATTAATGTAATTAAGAAACCATTAAATAAGCCATTAACAGTTGTATTATGGTGAAAAAAACTTCTAGGAAAAGTAGTCAAAGGGCTTTTTATTTACCAGAGTTGAAAAAGACACCGTGCTGCTTAAAATTACCACCCAGGGTTAATTGAGTCATAAAGTAAGCCCTCTTTCTACAAATATAATATTTTAGAATTTATCATGAAACACTTCACCAAAAACATTTCAAAGGAAGCTTCTTAATCTACATTTCCAAATAATTCCTACCAAACTTGAGTCACTTTATCCTTACCTTCTGCAAAATGTTTCAATTTTCACAAAAAAACATGCCATTTTTCAGTAATATATGACAGAACTTTTTTTAGAAGCTAATGCAAACCTGTGACAGCGAAGTGTTTTAGTCCAGTCAATCTGTTCCTAAAATAGGCCGATAGACAAAAAAAAATACTAACAGGCTGGATTTTTTCCCATCGACTACTACCATGTAGACAAGTCTCCAGCCAAAAGTCCCCACCCCTAGCCCTCTTGCTTTTTTCACTAGAGCCCGCCAAAGTTTTTAAGGGTGGATAAATGCAGTACTTTATAAAATCGCTTATATTTCAGTAACTATTTCAGATAGACCTTACATCTTGTTGTTTTTAGATCCCTAAAATTACGGTCTAAGAACATGATATGTAGGTTTTGTGATTAGTCGACTAGTTTAATAGTTATTTCTATCTTTAATAATAAAAATGCATAATTTTTCTATTTCGTTTAGAATATTTGCGCATATTATTTTAAAACAAGGCTCCAGTAATTATCATTAATAAAGAGGTTTCAAGTAAATATTTTCTCCTGTTTATAAGATTTAAAATGATATATGACTTGTCATATTTCGCTCGTATTGTGCCCTGTGACTTAACATTTGAAGTATAGTGTGCACTGGCTGCCGCGACCGCGCGCCGAGGCTCGCACCGACGCGACGACGACGATACTGCTCGGGACTAGGCACGCCTGCGTTCACTTTACATATAAATATTTATTGCTCTAGGCCAACTTATTTTTAAATACTACCTCTTTCATCATATTATTTGTATTATTTACAATTTAACAATCCTGGAACAAGACCAAGGATACAAGAAACATTCCAAGAAATAAGTAAACAATAAGGAACAAAAATAAATGATTATTTACCTAGTTTTAACATTTGATATTGGAGAGCAAAACAACTTGTATAGAAAGCATGTAATATTCATTTTTAATGAATATAGATCTAAGGTATGCACCAAGGTCAGCTCTAGTGAAGAGCTCTCTCGATCTTGTGACAGAAGTTTTTGAAGATGAGAGTTTTGGAAAATGAAAGCACTGTGCACTTATAGTTGCCAATTCCTACTGGCTTGCTTATGCTGTATCTTCCAGGTCCACTTCTATTATTGCACTGTTCGAACATTGTCCCGCACATACTCCACACAGTTCTGTACAATTTAAAGAAGCCTTGAAGCAGCTGCAGTTGTTTCTACAAGATTTCTTGCAATTGCAAGAAATGAGGGTAAAAACGTCCTCAGGTGCTGGAGGTTGGTTGGAGTGGATTGGAAAGAGCGTCCCATTTTGAAACCTCCAACCCCATTCAGTTCCCAATATTTCCTTATTCCCCAGTCATTTTTGAACCTGATAGTACGACCTGTAAAATTTTCTATTTTTAATTAATAAGGTGGTTAAAGCTCTAAAAAATACTTCACATAGAACACTCTCAGTTAAGGTTGTGCATATCTTTCAATGAGTTTGATCATAATAATAAAAAATATATATTTAATACTAAAGACTATTCATACCAGATCCGGAACTAAATTAATTCAATTTGTAAAAACATTTGATCGATTTGAAGTAAATTAATGGACAAAAATGGGGTCAGGGAATTTATGAACTCAAATTTTGAAACTGTTGATGATTGATAGTCAATAATTAATTCGGCTTTTGCATGTTGAGTAAAGACATATTTTGAACATTTCATTTTATAAATTGTTTACATTAAATTTAGAGGGTATTACAACAGTAGGGGGTTATATTAAAGGATTGATTGTTGTTTAGAGACATGTTCTAAAATGGGGGGAGTTCACGTTTATACCGCAATTCGGAACAAGCTATGTAGCGATTTCAGTGAGCAGATATTTTATATCTAAAAAATACATATAAAATTCCTAAAATCTCGATTTTTGCTGATTTATTTGCAACAACACTAAAAGTAACATTACAATTTCGCTCACTGAAACCCTAAAATCGTTATAACGTTGTAAAAATATTTCCATCAATGCGTGGCAATAATGTTGTAAAATCTCTGGATATAGTTTTGCTGTTTCAAAAGAGCCATCGATCAACAGTTTTAGATCAGCAGTTGAGGGTGTACCGAATTGGTGCTTTGGGAGAAGCAAGAATTCACGTGGGACTGGAGTCCCCTTTTAAGAATGTTCACGAGTTAACGTTTAAGGTTAACATAAATTTTTATGGAAAATATCAAAACCAAAATATTAAAAAAATACTAAAAAGTTTTACGAACCTGTAAATATGTTGTTCTGCTGCTTCTGATGTTGGAGGAAGATATGCCTTGTTAAATTTAGACTTGAGAGACCTTTTTGCCACTGCCTTTAAATATCCTATGAATCTACTTTCATTGAGACTTGAATGCTTAAAGAAACCATAGATTTTAAGAATAATGAATTCTCCCGCATCTTTGAGACTTGTTTTATCTATTTTACTGTCATAAAATAGCAATACATTCTTCCGTAAATCTTCAGATTTTTCCATAAAATTATAAACCTTCATTTTGTCTTTCCCAAAGAGTGACGATGTAGTGTCGCAGCCAGATATAGCGTGTATTAGAAGCAACACTTCTTTTATCGGTCCTATTTCATTTCTAATTTGATTAATATTATAATTCTTCGCGGAATCACCATTTCTTTTGTGAAAGTAAAGCTGGAGGTTTTCTGATGTCGGCCGTCCAACAAGCAAAACAAAAACATCAGCATCCTGGCTCACAACAACTACTGAATTGTGACAGTGTGACTTAGAAATAGCAACTGCTGTTTCCACGATTGCAAGATCCGCATCTTCCTCAGCGACAAATGTTGGTATGTTTTTTTCATTAAGCTTTTGAACAAATCAAATCAAATCAAATCAAATCAAATCAAATCAATTTTATTTCCACAATATATAAAAAATTTACACTTTTTCAAAAAAAATAAAATACAAATAGTCTTGAAGCATTATAGAGTAAAATTGATTACGTAAATTAATTCTAGTAAAATTAAATTTATAATAGTAAAAACTTAAATACTAGTTGAATGTTTGCTCCGGCTTGAATAATAACTAATGTAATAGATAAAGGAAATGAGTCTACATGGACCTCAGTGGTCTGTGCGTAGACTCGAGTTGTTCAAAATTATATATATTTTTGAGCTAATTTGAAATAGAAGAAAAAGTTTAAGATTAAATAAAAATTTACTATGTGCTATGGGAACGTGTAAAGATAAAGATAAGTTTAAAGATTATATAAAAAATTGGAGTAAATATTAATTTAAATTTTTATTAACAGAATTGTTTAAGGAGAAGCCAATAAATAAAATGGAAAAAAATTTGGTTGGTTGCAAGAGTTTGCAGAGGCCCTGTCCGTTCAGTGCTGTCAGACAGTGGCAGGTCTCCTGTTATCAGTAGTGATAAGAGCCTCGGCCTCTTCATCGCTGATATCCAATAACCATCTATTAACTAGATTTTTGAATACACCTAATGTAGGTGAATGAAATAACTGAGTTGCTTTATACATAGTGGATTAATTCCGGAACAAAATATGTGCTATGTAGAAACAATTTGTTTTTGAAAAGGATTTATGCTGCTGAATAGTAGAAATTCCAATTCTATTTGCATATCTTGTATTATGAGTGTGGGTTATGGAAGTAAAAATTGAATTGAAGTTTTTAAATATAAAAATTAGAAGATCTTTGATAAACAATTTTGCAATGGGGTAAATCTGAGGGGTATCTTTTACACTTTTTGAAACCAGCTTTTAGGATAGACTTTTGAACCAGAATCAGACCTGTGAGATGTGAACTGTACGCCCCTCCCCAAGCTAATATTCCATAAGACAAAACCGACTGTACATATGCAAAATATGTTGATTTAATTTCTTTAAAACTGAGAACATCACTTAACTGTCTAAATGCAAATATAAGTTTTCTAGTTTTATTTTGCAAGAAATTAATATGCTCTATCCATTTCATATGTGAGTCAAAAATTATTCCTAAATATTTATATGAGTTAACTCTCTCTAAGGTATCGCACGAACAACTGTTATTGAATTGGTTGAGACAACTGTGCAAGATCAAATTGGTTAGGTTATAGTCAGCTGTTGACGTGAGAGAAATAGGCATGAATTTTGTTTTGGAAACATTAAGAGATAGTACATTTTGGTCGAGCCATTTTTTTACTAATTTGAGATCTGTTTGAGCTTTACTTTTCACACCTTCCCATGTCTTATCCTTAACATAAATCAATGTGTCATCTGCAAAAAGAAACATTTTTCCAAAAATTGGTAATTTAGAAATATTATTTATATATATTAGACAAGAACAAGGAGTCTTATCAAGTTTTTCTTGTTTTTAGGGTTAGCCAAAAACTAATTTTGGTTTACACAACATGTCATTTCTTCAGTGAAGTTAATCTGTTGGTTGGAATAATGGCTGGTCGAAAGTTACGATGCAGGGCTGTTTTGATGAACTACTCTGTTCAGCAGCAAAATGTAATGCCGAATAAATCGCCGTGGGGTTTCCTGGATCAACATCAATGAACGGTAAGGATAGTATGTAGGAAGTTTCGAAGTCCACTCTGCCGTTGTAACAGCTATGCATGAAGCCAGACCACCCTGGAAATGGGATGTGATCAAGGGCGT